CGTGGAGCAACTAAGCCCGTGTACCACAACTCCTGAGACTGCACTCTAGAGCCCGCGAGCCACAACTACTGAGCCCACATGCCAGAACTACTGAAGCACACGCGCCTAGAGCCCGTGCTCTGCAACAAGAGAAGCCACGACAATGAGAAGCCCGCGCACCGCAACGAAGAGTAGCCCCCACTCACCGCAACTAGAGAAAGCCCGCGCATAGCAACGAAGACCCAACACAGCCAAAAATAAAAGAAAATATAAAGAATTAAATGTATTAAAAAATAATATTCCCTCGTGTGTAGACACCACACATGTTTATCCTTTCATCTGTTGATGGACATTTGGGTTTTCTCCCCCTTTGGTTATTATGAATAATACGGCTTTTCACGTGTGTATACAAGTATTTGTTTGAGCATCTGTTTTCAGTCCTTTTGGATAGATGCCCAGGAGCACAACCGATGAGTCACATGGCAGCTCTATATTTGACTTTTTGAGGAACTGCCAAGCTGTTTCTGAATGGCTGCATCATTTTACATCGCCACCAGCAATGTAGGAGGGTTCCAATTTCTCCACAACCTCACCAATACTTGTTATCTTTTTTTAATAAATTTATTTATTTATTTATCTTTGGCTGTGTTGAGTCTTCATTGTTGTGCACGGGCTTTTCTGTAGTTGCGGCAAGCAGAGGCTACTCTTCATTGTGGTGCACGGGCTTCTCATTGTGGTGGCATCTCTTGTTGAAGAGCACGGGCTCTAGACTCGCGGCTTCATTTGTTGTGGCTCATGGGCTCAGTAGTTGTGGCTCGCGGGCTCTAGAGCGCAAGCTCAGTAGTTGTGGCACACGGGCTTAGTTGCTCCGCGGCATGTGGGATCTTCCCGGACCAGGGATCAAACCCGTGTCCCCTGCATTGGCAGATGGATTCTTAACCACTGCACCACCAGGGAAGTCCTTTCTGGTTTTTTTAAAGTACTTTCATTAAGGCCAACCTAGCAGGTGTGAAGTGAACCTTAGTATTGATTTTAAAGGGTGCTTATATAGTCCAGATGTAAGTCCTTTGTCACATATACGTATCGTGAATACTTCCTCTCAGTCTGTGCCTTTTGATGACAGGCAGGGTTTTGTTTGTTTTTTAATTGAATGTATTTAATCCTTACAAAGACTCTGCACTATTTTATTTCATTCTGACACACATCAGACTTATTGCAGCCTGCTTTATGTAAGAGGTATGTGAAAAAGTGGCACATAAATGAAATGTAAATGAGTTAGCCCTCCCTGGGTGGGCATTTATACAACTGTAATACACTATCTAAATGGGAAAGATTCCAGGGTGTGTGACATCCATGTGAATACTGAGTCACATCTGTGTGAGTGTGTGACTTATGATTGGGTGTGCCATCCATGTGGGGGACCTTTGAGCGTGTGTGATGTCTGTGTGTATGTGTGACATTGGAGTCCCTCATCATAGATTGATAAGGACCCTGGACCAGGCCGGACTTCTCCCCCACTGAGGCCAGTTCTAGATGAGCCTGTAAGTGAGGGCAGCCCTGTTGCCATCACATGGGTGGAGCTTGTCTCAGAATAAAGCCATGGAAGTGAAGAGAGCAGACAGAGCTTCAAGATAGAGAAAGACAAAACTCTGGGGTCGTGGAGCCCAGGATCCAGCCATACCTGAACCTTCACCCTGGGCCCTTAAGTTACATAAACCGATCAGTCCCTGCTCCTTTATTTGTAGCTGGTGTGAATCGTGTTTCATTGCAAGAGTCCTGACTAATATAAACACTTATGATGGGATGCAAATGGGGAAAAACTTCTTTCTGTTTGCTTCCACCTCCACCAAATACAGAACATGAATGAGTGGCAAGAGCCCAGGAAGAAGTGAAGGAGGTGGCCAGCTTCACTCCTGGGAGGGAGGCAGGTGGGCCAAGGCAGGTGTAGCACCACCAGGTGGGCCCCCCTCCCTCCGTTTCCTTTGGAGGGGCTTCTAGAGAAGGGGGAGGAGAAGTTGCCAGCAGGATGGTGGCAAAGGGGGCCTCCAGCTGGTGCAGTGGCAGGGCAGGTGAGGGAGGGGGTCAGGAGGCTCTAATACGCAGCTCAGGATGCCTCTCCCTGGACCTGGAGGGAGGGACCTGGAGCGCTGAGCCTGAGAAATAGGGTTTGGGGAGTGTTTGTTGTGACTCCAGGCTGGGAGGGACCCAGTGGAGTTGAGTTGGGAGGTGGCTCCTGGCGGATCATCAGCCCTCAACTCTGCACTTTCCATCATGGGAGTAATTTTTAAAAACGGTCCTGGCAGCTAGGGTGCTGCTGTGGCTCAGCTCAGTGCCCGCCACGTGCTGAGGGGAACAGCTGCAGAGAGTGGGAGGCCAGCAAGAAGCTCGGGGCCCAGGCCTGGGCTGGGCATGGCCAGCGGGAGGAGGCTGCTACAGCCTCGCTGCCAGGCTCTGAACACACACTCTCCCACCCCATCCTCTCAACTGTGCCTGTTTACAGATGAGAAAATGGAAGGCTGGAGAGGAGAAGTGATTTCTAAGGTCCTGTGGCTGAAAATGATCATGATCATATGCAATATTATCATGATCTGTAGAATGATAATGAGTCATATATAGTGATAATAGTAATATCATTCATATATTTACAAAATGTACATTCTATGTTTATGTACAGAGATCTCACCTCTACGGCACAGCTTCTTGGGCACTGAAGCAGAGGCTTTGCTATAACCATGTGGTGGCTCGCCTCCCGAGGGGTGTGCCCTGCTGTGTCTGCTGTAGCCCGGCTCTAACTGGGCCAGGCATGCACTAAGTTCTCAATATTTGCTGAGTGAGTGAATGGAGATGAAGTTCACCTAGCAAGGTGGCCAGGGCAGCTACAGGCAGCTGGACGTGGAGAAACAATTGTAAATGCCCAGGAAACATTGACCATCCACTCGGCCAAGTGAAAGAATGGTTAGTGCCTGGTGTCGGTGGGGATGAGGGGAAAAGGGCACTCTTCACCTTCTGGCAAGAATGTAAATTGGTACAAAATTTCTGGGGAACAAAATTGTAAAAGGGCATATCCTTTGACCAAGCAAGTTCACTTCTAGAAATTTAGTGAGAGAAAATAATTTAAAAAAAATTTTTTAATGCATATTTTTACCAAAGTATAGTTGATTTACAATATTGTGTTAATTTCTGTCGTACAGCAAAGTGATTCAGTTATATATATATATATATATATATATACACACACATTCTTTTTCGTATTCTTTTCCATTATGGTTTATCCCAGGATATTGAATACAGTTCCCTGTGCTATACAGTAGGACCTTGTTGTTTATCCATCCTATATATGATAGTTTGCCTTTGCTAATCCCAACCTCCCAGTCCATCCCTCCCCCACCCCCTCTCCCCCTTGGCAACCACAAGTTTGTTCTCTATGTCTGAGTCTATTTCATAGATATGTTCATTTGTGCCATATTTTAGATTCCACATATAAGTGATGTCATATGGTATTTGTCTTTGAGAGAAAATAGTTGAGGAAAGGTGCAAAGACAGGTGTGTCTATTAGTCAAAAGTGCCCAGAATTGGAGATGGGTTAAAAATGTCATGGTACCTCCATATCACAACGGCTCACGGTAAGTGTGGCTGTAGTGAGAGGTTAGCACCTGTGTGCCAGGTGACAGCTCATTTGGATGTCACCACAACCCTGTAAGGTGGAAGCTGTGGTCGTTCCCATCTTATAGGTGAGGAAGCCAGTGCAGAGGGGTAAAGGAGGTCACACACCCAGTGAGTAGAGGAAAAGGAATTTGGATACAGGCCGTCTGGTTCCTAAGTCTCTGCTCTTTACTCCATTGTACGTGCGATGATGACATTGACCTAATTCATTAACATGAACCGTGTCCACAATAAACTGTTAAGTGGAGGGGCTTCCCTGCTGGCGCAGTGGTTAAGAATCTGCCTGTCAATGCACGGGAAACGGGTTCGAGCCCTGTTCCAGGAAGATCCCATATGCTTCGGAGCAGCTAAGCCCTGTGCGCCACAACTACTGAGCCTGTGCTCTAAAGCCCGCGAGCCACAGTGACTGAGCCCACTTGCCACACCTACTGAAGCCCGCGTGCCTAGAGCCCGTGCTCCGCAACAGGAGAAGCCACCGCAATGAGAAGCCCGAGCACAGCAAGGAAGAGTAGCCCCCGCTCGCCTCAACTAGAGAAAGCCCGCACACAGCAACGAAGACCCGATGCAACCAAAAATATATAAATTAAAAAATAATAAATAAATTGTTAAGTGGAATAGGGAGGTTAAAAAAAGTCAAATGCTTATCTCTCCATAGTGAGATAATGGCAAATATCTTTTAAATTTTTTCTTCATGTTTGTTTGAACTTTTTATAACATGTAAATATTACTCATCACGAAAGATAATGAAGCTTTTCTAATGGGGGGGGGGGTTAAAAAAGGAGAAAATCCGGAGGATGAGGGAAAGAACACAATGTGGGAAACTTCCTAATTTCCCTGTCTAGTGAGCAGGCCCCTGGCCTCTGCAGCCTCCAATGGCCAGACAAGCTGCCATCCTCCTCCACTTGCAGGAAAACCAAAGCCTTGTTTATTCATTCCTGATGGCCAGAGACACGAAGGCGGAGAGGCAGCTGCAAAACTCACTGATTCCACGGAAAAGTCATTCCCACCCAGAATCTCCATGCAGCTGCTGATCTCAGTGCCCATTTTTCAGATGGGGAAACTGAAGTTCAGAGAGGTGCCTTCACCTGAGGTCATTTCTGCAAAGAGGAGGCTGGACGCAGACTGGGGGTTTCTGGCTTACCACTCCACTAAAAACCTTTATAAAACTATAGCAGGGCTTCCCTGATGACGCAGTGGTTGAGAGTCCGCCTGCCGATGCAGGGGACACGGGTTCGTGCCCCGGTCCGGAAAGATCCCACATGCCGTGGAGCGGCTGGGCCCGTGAACCATGGCCGCTGAGCCTGTGCGTCCGGAGCCTGTGCTCCGCAACCGGAGAGGCCACAACGGTGAGAGGCCCGCGTACCACAGGAAAAACAAAAAAACAAAAAAACTATAGCAAAGATGCTTTTCCTTCCTTTAAAAAAACGTTGAAGGGAAATGTCTTAGGATCAGGTGTCTTGATTCATATTCTATGTGCAGCAGTTTGGCCCTTGAATATGGTCAATGAGGTGGTACAGGCAAACTGAGCACTTCCATAATATGCAGACCCTGGAAACCTCCAAGTGGGCAGGCGATTATCAAGCTTAGCAATAGGCTAACCACAACCGCATTAGAGTGAAACTGACCCCAGTCTTTAGATTCTGGTTTTGTTCCTTTCTTGCTCATTACCCATAGATGTGTATCAAGATATCTCCAAACTCAGCACCTTAATACAAATATTTATTATTATCTCTCAATCTTCTGTGGTTTGATTGGGCTCAGCTGGGTGGCTCTCATTTGGGGTCTCTCACAGAGTTGCAGTCAGGTAGTGACTGGGGCTGCAGCCACCAGTGGGTCATCTGGGCTGGATGTCCACCATGGCTCACTCCCATGGCCTAAACCCCAAGGATAAAGAGGAAGGGAGATGAGACATCAGCCTATGGAGGATTTCAAAAGAGTCTTTGGAGAATTGAAAGTGGATGGAGAAGTGGCATCTGGTGTAATAGAGCAAGGCAAACTGTAAGCTAAGTGCCTCCAATGAGGAGAAACTGATTGATTGAGAAACTAACAATTTCATTGCCAAATGCTGGGAGCATGGTATGTGGGAGCTAGCTCATACTGGCTCAGCAGAGACGATTTTTAAATTATCAGGAATATTGTCCCTGTGTGGTGAAAATACTATACAATTCTGTGCTACTGCCCTCCTCCTTTCCATGGTGGAGGGTAATTCTGAGATCACCCATGGTACCGACATTTCTTGAGTACCACACTTGTGCCAGGTACTGTGCTGGGTACCTGCAAACAGGGATCAGCAAAAGAGACAAAGAACCTGCCCGTAGGGGCTTATAGTCTATAGGGGCGGGGGTGGGGATATTTATAAAATGACCATCCACATAAACACATAATTAGCGATCACGATAAGCCTAACGAAAGAAAAGTACTTTTTTTTTTTGAGAAGGGGAGTGGTTTAGAGAAGGCTTAAAAATGACAATTGTGCTTAGACGTTTAAGTAGGAGTTAATGAGGGGCGAGGGCAGCAGGAGGAAAAGCATTCCCGGAGGCAGGAACAGCATGTGTACGTGCCCTACAGTTCAGGGATGGAGGAACAGGCTGGTGGGAAAGAACAAAGACAAGTAAGCAAGGGGACAACACGCAGGCCCCTGGCTTCAGAGGTTGAAGGGAAGGAGTTTACGGGCTCCGTAGCCCATTGCGGCGCGAGATTGCGTCTTCTGGGCTCCCATTGGCTCAACGGCCTGTCCTTGGAGCGAATCAGCGAGCTGAGAGGGATGAGTGGCCCTGATTGGTCAGGTCCAGTCACGTGCAACCTGGAGTGCTGGGTGGAGCCAACGCAGGTTGAAGCCAGGAGGTCGGGTGCGTCAGGGTTGGGTCTGCGCAAAAGCAGTGGGTGAAACCAAAGTCCACTTACCGAAGTAAGGGCATTCAGTTTTGCACCTGAATCTGTCTGTGGGCTCACGGGGCTTGTTCTTCACAGAGGTATGATCCCGTGAAGCTGTCAGGCAAAGGAAATGTCTTAAATGACTCCATTTGAGTCCGGCCGCTTCTAGCTGGCCGTGCCACCTCTCACGAACGATTTCAAGACTCACTCTAGTGAAAAATCCAAAGCAGAACTGGAGCTGCGATGTGGTATAGGGTCTAGCTTAGTGCAGACCGTGATGCCAGACTGCCTGGGTTGAAGTTCTTGTCCATGTTTGTCCTTAGGCAAGTTATTGATATTTAACGTCAGGGTGTCAGTTCCCACAACTATTAAAATGGAGATAATAATAACACCTACCTCATAGTTCTGTGAGGATTAAATAAGTTACAGTTAATATATGTTAAGCACTTGGCCTGACACATGGTAAGTGCTCCATACGTGTTTCTATTATTATGTTTTATATATGTATTAAACATACTTAAATATAAGGAACTCAGGCAAGCACCAATTCCTTACTTTGTGATAAAAGAAGAAAGAGCAACAAACAAATAATAGTAGTAATAACAACTGAGGGTTTACTATGCACCAGAAACTGTTTTGGAAGCTCCGCAGGTGTTATTTTACTGAATCCTCACAGCAACCCCTGAGATGGGTGCTACTATCATCTCCATTTTTCAGCTGAGGAAATTGAGGCTCAGGGAGGTGAAGCGACATTGCCCAAAGTTACAGGCCAGTAAAGACTTGAACCCAGACATTTGTAATTCCAGACATCAAAGTCCGCAGTCGCGGGCTTCCCTGGTGGCACAGTGGTTAAGAATCCGCCTGCCAATGCAGGGGACACGGGTTCAAGCCCTGGTCTCGGAAGATCCCACATGCCGCGGAGCAACTAAGCCCGTGCGCCACAACCACTGAGCCTACGCTCTAGAGCCGGAGAGCCACAACTACTGAGCCAGCATGCCTAAAGCCCGTGCTCCGCAACAGACAAGCCACCGCAATGAGAAGCCCGCGCACCACAAGGAAGAGTAGCCCCCACTCACCGCAACTAGAGAAAGTCCGCGCGCAGCAACGAAGACCCAACGCATCCAAAAATAAATAAATAAATTTGCTTTTAAAAAAAAAGTCCGCCCTCGGGTTCTCGAGGCTCAGCCCCACCCTCCCCGCCCCTCTCCCCGCCCCTCGCCCAGCCTGGCCCCACCCCTCCAGTCAGCCCCGCCCCACTCGTGGCCTCGCCCCGCCCATGGCCCCGCCCCTCATCCGGCCTGGTGTATTCCAGCTAGACTAGAAGGCCCCGCGCCTCCCCTCTGTGGGCGCCTTCCCTGCCCCGCCCCTCACACGGATGGTCCCTCCCGAGGCCCCGCCCCACGTGCCCCGCCCCCTCTATCGGCCCCGCCCCCTTGAGCGGCCCCGCCCACAGGCGTCGCAGTCGCTGCGGACGCAGTTCTCGGGTTTGAGTCGCCATTTTGCTCTTGGAGAGGCCGCCGGTGCTCCGGCGCTTTCCTCATTCGGCAGCGGAGGCTGCGGCGGGGCCGGGGCTGGGGTCGGGGCCAGGTAGGCGGGCGGGAGCCGGCGACGGTGGTGGCGCGGCCGGCGGGCCGGCCCTGCGGGGCACAGGTGCAGGGCGGGGGGCTCGGCGGGGACCCGGCCGCGCGCAGCCCTCGGTCTGGTCCGGTTCGTAGGCGTCCGCGGGCTTGGCGCGCGGCCCGTCCGGCCGTTACGGGACCTGCAGCTGCGGGCGGAAGCCCAGCCTGACGCGCAGACTGACATCCCTGGCGGTGCTGGGCTGGCCTTGCGGCGCGGGCCTTTCTGTTGCCCCGCGGAGCTTGAGTGAGGACAGGGATGTAGCTCTAAGGCTTTTTTCTGCTTTTAAATGGTTTCCAGCAGTACTGCACAGTGATGATACCGACTTTTACCACCTTTTATTAATATTGACGCGGTTTGGGTGTTTAGCTTTTGCAAGGAATGGGAAATTCGGGATGGGGATTTGGGGTGTGAGAAAATGTGATTTATAATGTTTAAAACTGTTCCATGCACAAATGTAAGTGATTCACCCACATTATTGAACCCCACGAAGTCCTACCCTTCTTGTCCGTATTCCTATCCCGACCTCGTCTGTACCGTTATTACCCAGCTTGGGTTGGAGGAGATGCAGTTCTGCTCTTACTCAACGTAAGCACTTTCGTACAGTCCCGGATATTTACCGTTTTTATTGTATTGAATGTATATTCAGAGTTTTACTTAATTACCCCATTATGTAACTTTTGCATATGTTCAGTGTTCCTCCTCTTAGAAAAACCATGCAGTGACCATCATTGAGCTTTTCCTTTCCGTAAGATAAATTCTCCAAAGGGGAAATACTGAATCAGAGTTATGTGTTCTTTCTTTGACACGTGATATAAATTGTTTTCCAAACAAGGCGTGTTTACTACGCACATTTTTCTAAATCTGGGTGTTTGTCGGGCTTGCCCCCTGAAATGCGGGGTGTCAGGTCACTCTCCGTGGTGTTGGGAGACTGCTGCTTCCAGGTGGGCAGCCTTGAGGAGGTGTCTTCATCTTCAAGCGTCACTTATCCCGTGTCTCAAAGGGGACTTGTAGTACCTGTTTTATTGAGTTGTCATAAGAATTCAGAGAGCTCAGAAAATGGTATTTAGCCGAAAGAAAACAGTCTGATGAAGAGATAGCCAGGTGCCTGGGGTCATAGAGGCCTGGAGGATTAATTACATCTAGGCTTCACCCTTCTAATTCTCTTCAGTACTGACTCCCAAAAAGCAAATTTTCTTTGAGTGAGGTACATCACTAATAAAAATAATAATTCTTTATACTTTCTGACACCTTTTAGTTTGCAGACTTCTTTCAACTCCATGTGTTAATCATTGCAACTCAGTGAGGTCAGGCTTTATTCCACAAACATTTGTTATTTGACGAACATTTGTTAAGCCTCTCCCTCTGCCAGGTACTATGCTAGGCCCTGGGTGTACAGCAGAGAAAATAATAGTGGAAAAAATCTCTGCTGTCCTGGACCTTAAATTCTGGTGAGGGAAGCTGTTTTTTTTTTTTTTTAGGGAAGCTGTTTTTAACCGAGCATGTATCTCTGCTGTCTGGAAGGGGAAGGCCAAGGACTCGTAGCTGGTAACCAGGGAAGGCAGGGCAGGTCTTCACGCTGTGACTCCAGCCGTCAGCAGACGCGCTAGATGGAAAGCAACCCACTTTGCTGCCAGCCTTACTCATCTGAGATGTGCATGAGTCGTTTTGAAACGACTGCCAGCACTTGCAAAGCGAGTGGTCTTTCAGAGTGGTTTCAAGGTTCTGAGATTCTCTGAAAAGGCTGTGGTTTCGTGTGTTGTATATAATTCTCACACATTCTAGAGTGAATTTAGGATAAAGGTAAAAGCAACTGTAGTTTATGGGGGGAAAATGGGAATGTTCTCTTTACTCTCCATTTCACACTATAGCCTTGTAGTAATGAGCCTTCTGCCAGCCCCATGCTGGTGACTATCTTATTTACGAGGAGAATCTTTAAAACTCTTTTATTAAAGCTTGGTAAAGAGCACAACTTGAATTTCCAATAGGAAAAGGAGAACTAAAACTAGCAACTAGTTTTATTGTTTGACCGACTTGTGAGATGGGTAGTCACAGAACATGACTATACTGATGACTGTTTCCAAAGGGACTCCCAGCCTGTGCCATTTTGAGGTCTTAGGTTAGGTTTCCATTATTGAAACCTGGTATCTGGAGACTGAAACCCTAGAGACCATAGTCAGTGATGAAGGACATTTAAACCATGACCATTAATGAAAGGTTCCAGGAAAAGAGAATACACAGAGGCAAGAGAGCCATCTTGAGATAGGTCGAGGACTGCCCTGGGGAGAAGGAATTTGGGGTTTCCCATAAATCTTCAAAGAAAGGACAAGGCTCAGGATGGGGAGGCTGCTGGGAGAGGAATCTGTGTGTTCTAAGGCTGGACCCTTAGGATGTGGGCATCAGGCCCGGGACTGTTCAGGTATCTGGAGTGGCTCCTTGGTAGGAGTCCTAGAGATGGACTGAGTTACTTCCAAGATCTCTTCCTTCCCCTCAGATAGTTTGATTCTCAGTGTTCTCTCAAGAACGTCCTCTCAAGAACGTCCTCTCAAGAACACTGTTGTCCTTTAAGAAGCTTCTTAATTTGAAGGTTAGGGGATGTAGAAAAGTGGCCATCCCATGCATATTATGTACTCGTTCGATAGATAACCAAAATATTAACAAGTTGACTCATCAGAGCTTCCATTTACCACGCGTATCCTGTATGTGGGGCACTGTGTTAAGTGCCGTACAGGAACTCATCTTACAGTGACCCTGTAAGGTCAGTATTCGCAGTTGCATGGATGAGGGGGCGGAAGCTGAGAGTGACTAATTTATGCGAGGCCTCACAGTGAGTTAAGGGGAAGTAGGAGCTGAGATGCAAACCTGGGTTTGACTCCAAAGCCTGTATTCATAACTACAGGAGAATGAGTTGTATTTTTGTTGTGGTTTCCTCTTCCAGACTCTGTTCCTAAACACAGGCATAGAAGAGTTGAGAGGTGGTGTTAGAAGACGCCTAGGATCTCCTCCGATTCTGAGAGTTGATGGTTAAATATTATCTCTTTGCTTTGCCCCAGTCACCCTGCCCACGCTGTGCTGTAAAGCTGGCTCGGCACACTTTTTCTGTAGAGGGCCAGGTAATATTTTAGTCTTTGCAGCCCATACTTAACTCTACCACTGCATCCACAGACAGCTTGTTGACAGTGAGCGTGGCTGTGTTCCAGTGAGCATGGCTGTGTTCCAATACAGTTTTATTTACAGAAATAACCTGTTTTGGCCCGTGGGCTGTACTTTGCCGATCCCTGCCCCAAAGCCACTTTCCACGGTACACACCAGTGGTCCTTCTTGGTCTCCTTAGGGCTTTGGCCAGCTGTTCATACATTTCTGTTTGTAATTCATAGGCTTTAGGTCAAGTGCATTGGGGTGGCCTGTGTTTGCCATTGAGCGATGCCTCTGAGGAGGAAATGTGCTCTCCTAGCCTGCGTGGGGGCCCGTGAGTGACCCACTGGCCCCCACTGGCGGTTACTGCAGAGAGAGACACACACGTGCATAAGGAGGCCTCTTTGGGTTGGTGACCTGCTGAGTGTGGCGTGCCTGCACCAGGGAACACTGGCAGCAGTTAAAAAGGACATGATGGGTCTGTACTTTCTACCTGGGATCTTAAAATATATTGCTTTTTAAAAAAGCAGATTATAAGTAGATTTGTACGATGATCCCTTTTTATGTTAGAAATGATTTTTTATATGTATTTTTTATGGGGATCACGTGTGAACGTGTAACAGCCTGATGGTATCTCTTTCAAACTAATAATAAGAACTGTCAGGTCCAAGGACGTGGGTGGGAAGGAGCCTGGGATCGGAGCTAGTGACATTAGCCTAAACTCTCATGTTCCAGTTTTTTTTTACAAGGAGAATGTATTTGTTTATTGTGTAATTAAAAGTTAAGAATAGGGGCTTCCCTGGTGGCGCAGTGATTGGGAGTCTGCCTGCCGATGCAGGGGACATGGGTTCGTGCCCCGGTCCGGGAGGATCCCACATGCCGTGGAGCAGCTGGGCCCCGTGAGCCATGGCCGCTGAGCCTGCGCGTCCGGAGCCCCGCAACGGGAGAGGCCACAGCAGTGAGAGGCCCGCGTACCGCAAAAAAAAAAAAAAAAAAAGTTAAGAATAACAAATAAGATAATTGGCTTCAGCCTTTTGCTCCTGTCCACCAGCCTTCCCAGAGCCACCCACGTAAACATATGACTGGGGAAATGCAGTGGGCTTGCTGGGAAGGCGCCTCTGTCCCCGAAGGCCTAGTGGATTGTTGCTCCTGCATCTAACCCGTGCCTGCCTTTCTCCATAAGGACACTCAGCCCAGAGAGTGCCCAGAGGAGGAGGAGAGCATGGAGGGTTCTGATGACCTGTAGGACAGGCTCTTTCTTTCTTTCTTTTTTTTTTTTTTTGGTGGTACGCGGGACTCTCACTGTTGTGGCCTCTCCCGTTGCGGAGCACAGGCTCCGGACGCGCAGGCTCAGTGGCCATGGCTCACGGGCCCAGCCACTCCGTGGCATGTGGGATCCTCCCGGACCGGGGCACGAACCCGTGTCCCCTGCATCGGCAGGCGGACTCCCAACCACTGCGCCACCAGGGAAGCCCAGGCCAGGCTCTTTCTGTCTGTGCCCTGCTGCTGGTCAGTTGCATGGCTGAGTCACTTTCCTTCAAGGTTATTTTTACCTGGTCAACCTTGTGTTCCACTTGAGGAAAAGTGCAGATGACAAGGTCAGGCTTAGACAGGACCTGGGGCAGCTACAAGGCCAGGGGGAGGTTTCATGGTGAACAGGCATTACAAGGAAAGCTGGGCATGGACGGGTTTTTTATTCATTGTTTAAGGATCAGTCAGTCCTTGTCCTTGCTAATGGCTTTGCCATTTTTCTGTGTGTTAATCCAGGAGGAATTTTGTTGTCAGAGACTAAAAGGAGGTTGTCGTAATTGACTTTAAGCAGCAAACAGTAAAACACTGAGCTCTTCAGCTCCACCTTTCTTGTAAGTTTATCATTTATTCCCAGTGGTCATGAAAATAATTGAGTCATGTGATAGCATCTTTCCATAAATTTGGGACCCTAAAACTCAATAGACTTTCTATTTGTCTATATACATGTTTAATATAAAAGACTCCATCATGGTAAAAACTAATTTCCTTCAGCTTAAGTCACTTGCTATTAAAAAATTTTCTGGTGTATTTCATATCACATGACAGCTCTTAATAAATTTTGTATCTTTCCAGGCTCTGAGAATTGGAAAACCAAGAAGGTTTTGATGTTTTGTGTGGCGCCACCTGAATCAGAAGCCAAGATGAACATAACCAAAGGGGGTCTGGTGTTGTTTTCGGCAAATTCTAATTCATCATGTATGGAGCTTTCAAAGAAAATCGCTGAGTGAGTATAATCATAGTATTAAAATCTGTACTCATTACGTGGTGTTTTACATTTGATAAACGGATTGGCACTGATTGTTAAATTTGAAAGCAGATATTTTATAGTTAATCTGCTCATCATCTGTGTATTAAAGGCTCACCTTCTTGTAAACTGTTGTCACTCCTACACGTTCTTTCAGCAGACATTTATTGAGTGACTCCTGAGTGCCAGAGATTGTGTTAGGTGCTACATATGTATAGAATTATTTGAGTATAAAGAACAATGAAGGGTATATACTATATGAAGATACTTTATAGATTACAGTTCAGTATAATTTTAGTTATTTATTAAATAAATATTGAACCCCTACTGTGTACCAGACCTTGATCTAGATACTGGGGAGTAACAGTGAAGAAGCCAGTCAGAACCCTCCCTTCTTTACTAGAGGGGCCAGGCAAGAAGCGAGTCAGCCAAACAAACACACAGGATCACTTCCGATGGTGGTAAAGCGGGGAGAACGGAGAGGCAAGGGCAGGTTGTTCTGTCTTAGGGAGCCCAGGACCCTGGAGAACCAGGACAGCGTTGAGAGGCCTTCTTGGGTTGGCATAGGGTGGGGATGTGATGAGTTAGGTGACCGAACAATTCTACGTCCACTTTAAATCTCGTAATAGGAATACCTCTATTTTAAAACATTTGTTTTATTTTTATCAATTTCTAAATCATCCTTAATAGTAAAGCGGTTGCATCTGTTCTGTTACTTTTTCAGCGTTTTCCGTCTTTCTCTTCTCTAGGCGGCTGGGGGTGGAGATGGGCAAAGTGCAAGTTTACCAGGAGCCTGACAGAGGTGAGTGATCCTGTGCTTTCGTGACGGTGGCCTTTTTGTGGTACATGCCGTGCTGGCCCAGTCCCCCATCCTCCGTAGCTGAAACCGTCGGCCTCAGTGTCCAGTTAGTTCTGCCAGCAGGAAGACAGGGCAGGCAAGGTGGGCGAGCGCGGTGTTCCCACTAATACCAGCTCGATAGGGAATTCTGGGGCAGTCACATCTGGGGGCTTAAAGTCTAGTCCTTAGACGTCATCCGATAACTGCATGGGTGCGTGAACAAGCTGTTCACCTGAAGGAAGCATAAGCGCAGCGCTTGGTTGAATCCGTCCCCTTAGGCGGGGGGCGTATGCCCTGTGTAGCCACAGTATCAGGTGGTGGGTGTTCTTTTCCCCAACCTGCACTGCCTTGGGCTAGACTCCATGATGTCATGTCAGGAAGTGCTTTTTGCTAACTGATTTATGATGTTGTATAAACACCTCAAGTTGTGAAAATCACATGTTATTTAGCCTTTGTACTTTCTGTAGAAATGGCGGATGTTTGAAGTTATTCTAGCAGGAGCGACAGATGACCTGCATAGGTGTGAGAGTCAGACAACTTCTCCTTGGCAAGTTATTTTAGCTGTCTAAACTGCAAATAATTCGGGCTGTTCTGAGGATTAAGTGGGATAATTTGTGTGCCTAACACAGTTTTTGGCACATAGTAGGCACTCAGTAAACACCGGTTCCCTCTCCTTTTCCACTGCAGGATTTTGTCTAATACTTAAATATTAGAGAACTTACAAGACATTTAGATGAAAAGGCACAAATTTCCTCTTCCCCTATTTATTTCTCCATTACTGCCTCCTCTTCCCTGTCTCCCAATATCCCCCATGTGGCTTCAGTGGGAAAAAAGTATAATTGAGGGAAATATACAGGGAGTTTGGAGAAGATTTTGCTGCTAAAGGAATTGGATGAAGTTCTTTGTCTAGTGTAGAAGGGGGGCTGAGGGAGGCTGGTGGCGGAAGACTCAGGAGGAGCCTGTCCACCCTCCGGGTTCATGAACGAGGGGAAGGAAGCAGGGAACTAACGTCTCTAGAGTCCTTACCATTACCAGGTACTGAGGAACTGAGTTCAGGGGTGACGTTAGGATTAAGGCCCCAGAGGGAACAGAGTCGGGATTCAAAGCTCAATCTCCCTGTCTCTAAAGCTCGTTTTCTTTCCATGGTGCCACACTTTTTTGTAAACATGTACTCTATTTTTTCCAACATTTCTAATGAAAATGTTCAAACCTGTAAAAAATGTGAAAGAGTAGTGCCATGAATACCCATATGAATGAGTACCACCCAGTTTCAGCAGGTGACACTTTGCTGTATGAATGTGTGTTTGTGGGACCATTTGGAACTGACTTGCAGACATTGACACTTAACCCCTGAATACTTGACCATGTGTCTCCTAAGGAGGACTTTCTCCCATGTAGATACGCTACCATTGTCACATTAAAGAGATTAATGATAATTCTCTATCATCTAATAGCTAATGTACGTTCTAATTTTCCTAGTTGTCCTAGCTGGTTTTTCTTTTTGTTTTTATAAATTTATTTGTTTTTTTATTTTTGGCTGCGTGGGGTCTTTGTTGCGGTGTGCAGGCTTCTCATTGCGGTGGCTTCTCTTCTCTTGTTGCGGAGCACAGGATCTAGGCACATGGGCTCAGTAGTTGTGGCTTGCAAGCTGTAGAAGCACAGGCTCAGTAGTTGTGGCACGTGGGCTCTGTAGTTGTGGCTTGCGGGCTCTAGAGCGCAGGCTCAGTAGTTGTGGCGCACGGGCTTAGTTGCTCCACGGCATGTGGGATCTTCCTGGACCAGGGCTCGAACCCGTGTCCCCTGCATTGGTAGGCGGCTGCTCCGGACGCGCAGGCTCAGCGGCCATGGCTCACGGACCCAGCCGCTCCACGGCATGTGGGATCTTCCCGGACCGGGGCATGAACCCATGTCCCCTGCATCAGCAGGCAGACTCTCAACCACTGCGCCACCAGGGAAGCCCCAGTAGGCGGATTCTTAACCACTGAGCCACTAGGGAAGTCCCTTTTGATTGTTTTTTAAACCAGGATTCTTCGTTCAAGTGAGGTGTTTTTTTTGGTTTTTTTTTGTTGTTGTTGTTGTTTGTTTGTTTGTTTTTGCTGTACGCGGGCCTCCCACCGCTGTGGCCTCTCCCGTTGCGGAGCACAGGCTCCGGATGTGCAGGCTCAGCGGCCATGGCTCACGGGCCCAGCTGCTCCGCGGCATGTGGGATCTTCCTGGACCGGGGCATGAACCCGTGTCCCTCGCATCGGCAGGCGGACTCCCAACCACTGCGCCACCAGGGAAGCCCAAGTGAGGTGTTTTTTATATCTCTTTATTCTCTTCTAGACTAGGGCAGTCCCTTCACCTTTTCTTTTTCTTCCCCACAGCACTGACTTTTTGAAGAGTTTGTCTTGTGGAATTTCCCACTCTGGATTTGTCTAATTGTTTCCTTGTGGCTGATCACAAGTTTTTTTGAGAGTAGGGATACTGGGCCTTATTTATCTTTACTTTCACAATGTTATTCTAACGTTTGTGCCTAATAGGTTCTTAATTGTTGCTGGTTGAATGAATGAGTCTATCATTTCCTGTAAGGATACGGGGCTCAGAGCAGCCCCAGCACTCGCTGTTTATGTATAGGAAGTGAGGAGGGGATATTTTCTTGTTTTAAGTGACAAGTGTGATTCCTTCTTAAGCATGTCGTATAACTTAACATGTTTAAAAGGTGTGATTAATCGAACTGTGTTCGTTATCCTTCATAGAACTGAAAACCTAGTGAGTGTTGAAACAGTTCCAGTTTCCATATTTTACAATATTGGGGAATGCTGCAGGGGTTTTTTGGTGTGTTTTTTAAAGTTATGTGCCTTGTTCACCCTTCTTCTCTTTTCCCCTTCTGCCAGAAACAAGAGTACAAATTCAAGAGTCTGTGAGGGGGAAAGATGTTTTCATCATCCAAACTGTTTCAAAGTGAGTACCTTATCCAACAGAAATGTTGCTTTCTGGTCTCTGTTTGGGCATGAATGTTTAGAATAATGAGAGTTGCCTAGACAGGGAGAATTACGATTGTTTTAAAATTGCCATGATCTCACTCTGCTAATTTTTCTGACATAGCTGCTGACGTTTTTTGTGTTCTTTCAGTGTTCTCAAGGGTGGGAATGACCAAGTTTTGGGGTGGAGGCGCTTAACGATAAGAGAGCCCATTACGTTTGCTCTCAGTAGCCGGAATTTCATAAAATTTGTAGGGAAGCTCTTCTAGTTCCAAAAAAGAAAACAGGCGAAAGGAGAGGAATTTGCTTACTTGGGGTTCTTAAAGCTTTTCCTGCAGATAATTTAAACGTACTGTCCTGTTGCATAAATTAAAGGAGCTGAGAAGATAGACGGTGTGTTGAAGGCATGTGTGTTCCTGTCTCCTGTGACTTTTTTTTTTTTTTTTTTTTTGCGGTACTCGGGCCTCTCACTGTTGTGGCCTCTCCCGTTGCGGGGCAACAGGCTCCGGACGCGCAGGCTCAGCGGCCATGGCTCACGGGCCCAGCCGCTCCGCGGCATGTGGGATCTTCCCGGACTGGGGCACGAACCCGTGTCCCCTGCATCGGCAGGCGGACTCTCAACCACTGCACCACCAGGGAAGCCCTCCTGTGACATTTGATAGCCGCGTGTTCTGGAAATTGTTGAGGTCACAAATGTGTACGCTGGGGATAGAAGATTCAGTGCAGCGAGGGTGTCTGCACCACTCTTCGATCAAATGCCACTCTGTCCACAGGTGTCCCTCAAGGCCTCTATAGATGAAATTTTTAACTCAGTACAGTTTTTAATAACGTCTAGAAATCGGTTTGTGTAGTGCAACAGTTTTTAGCCTAGAGATTCCAAAAATTGCCGCAAGCTAAATTTGTGGTTACGTGTAAAGCAAATACCAAAGAAAGTGAAGATGAGCCAAACTTCGGGAGAATTTAGACTTGGAACACATGACCTTTCACCTAAAGTTTGAACATCTCTGTCCTGGTCTTTGGTTCATGGGGATGAAATCTCGAAGCCACCTGACTCCTCTGGCAGGAGGAGCGAAGGTGCCCTGTCACTGCATCCCATCGTCCTGGAGCGCAAGTGTGCGGGCCTTTGCGGGGGGCCTTTGCGGCGGGGCCCTGGCTTCATGTCTTCCCTCTGCTTAGGACCCTCAGCAGGGCTGGGCTGTGGGGACGAGAGTTCGTGCTGCCCCTGCTGCCGCTCTCTTTCCCAGGCCAGACGCCAGGCTGGTAGAGCGCTCTCCATGCCCACGCCCTCATCAAGGAGGGGAAAGTGCAGAGCGCAGAACAGCTGACTTCCTTCTGGCTCCCGGGTGTTTGCAGTACTTTATACCTTCCATTTCTTTCCATTCATTCATTCCTTCCTTCCTTTACATTTATTTTTGGACATTTCGATACTCTTTTCATTCTGCCCCTGCCTCTCGTCAGTTTCTTATTCCTCTAGCCAAAACCATTCCCTTGGCTTCCCTGGTGGTGCAGTGGTTGAGAGTCCGCCTGCCAATGCAGGGTACACGGGTTCGTGCCCTGGTCCGGGAAGATCCCACATGCCGCGGAGCGGCTGGGCACATGAGCCATGGCCGCTAAGCCTGCGCGTCCGGAGCCTGTGCTGCACAACGGGAGAGGCCACAACAGTGAGAGGCCCGCGTACCGCAAAACAAAAAACCATTCCCTTAATTTTCTCTACATGCCTCATTTTGGAGTGCTCCAGACTGTGCCATAGGCTTGTCTTGTCCAGGTTGCAGAAAGCTTAGATATTGTGTTCTTTAAGAAACAGTTAACACTGAGATTTGGTGTCGTCAGATACACCTTGTACTTTGTCTTAGTGTAGACTGGTGGTAGGCACTAAAAGTATAAGAAAAATTTTAAATTAAGAAAATTCTATTCATTAACTTAACTTTTCCTGTAATTCAGACAAGTTATTATTTGAATTTAGTGATAGAAAGCCTTGTACCAGTTCACAGAAAAATGGTGTTCCTGGGAGTATAGTTTGGGACCTTGGTGTAACTTTACATCCGCTGTTGGTTCCCCTACTCTTACCCCCGACACAGAATGCTTTCTGAAAGGCGACTTTAACTCCTCCCATGTCAGGCTTGTTGTTTGGTATCAACAGAGAACCTACTCACCCAAATGTTCCGTGTTTCCCTCACTCTTGCACCCAGTCGCTCATTCACAGACATTTACTGAATGTCTGTTATGTGCCAGCCACTGTTACAGGTGTGTGAGATGCGCGAAGGATTAAAATAGTTCACAGATCCTTTGTCCTCATGGAGCCTGTGTTCTAGGACATGCAGGTAACATAATGAATAAGTAGACCAAACCAAAACAGCCTGGCAAGGAGTCGGACGTGACAGTGGTAAAGGATGGAGAGAGGGCAGGCTGGGGAGGTGACATCTGATAAACACTGGAAGAAGGTGCCAGCTGGCGACGAGGGCACTCCAGGCAGGGGCAGGGAGCCCTGAGGCGAAGGCCCTCAGGTCGGCGTGAGGACTGGCGTGAGGGGAGGGCAGGCACGGAGGAGGAGTGCAGGGCAGAGCTGGCGGGGGCCAGACGCTGAAGGAGCCTCGGGAGCTGTTGCAGGGCTTTGGCGTCTGCGGGAAACCATCGCTGGCTCCTGAGCAGAGTGCATGATCTGTCTTTGACTTTAAGCTCCAGCTGGATGCTGTGCAGAGGGTGGGCTGCAGAGGGACTGGGGGGGGGGGGGGCTGTCACTGTCGGGGGTCAAGGCTCGGCCCCAGGGCAGCAGTGGAGTGGTGGGTTGCTGTCACTGTGGACAGGAGAGCAGTTAAGGACGCCTCTGGGGGTTTTGTCCTGAGTAAACTGCAGGAGCAGTGTTGCCGCCAGCTGAGATGGCAGAGGTTTATGACGAGGCAGGCTTTGCCGGTCGAAGAGCAGTTCAGTTTGGGGTACGTTTTGAGATGTCTTAACAAGACTTTCTAGTGGAATTGTCAAGAAGCAGCTGAATTTGTTAGTCTGGACTTGAGAAGCCTGGGCTGGAGCTATAAATTTGAGTCCCCAGCATTTACAAAGCTCTGAAATTGGATGAGAAGCCCGAGCGAGGGATGAGGGAGGAGAGAGGAGAAGAGGACAAATGATCAGGTGTCAGGGCAGGAAGCTGGGGAGGAGAGGAAGCAGCAGAGGAAACGAAGCGGGGCGGGAGGGGAGCGGTGGGGGAGTGATGGAGTGTGTCAGGGCGAGGATGGAGAGAGGCGGAGTGAGAACCCAGCGTTGGCCTTGGCCACGTGGAGGTCATCTGTGACCTGGATCGGAGCGTGTGTGGGAGAGGATGAGATGAGTTGGAAGCAAGTGCGGACGACCGTCTTGAGATGTGCTGCCCAGGGGAGCCAAGAAATGGGGCAGTGGGGAAAGTGGCCTGAGCTGCTGTTAATGGGAGAAATGGCCCATCGGTATGAGCAGGGGAGAGTGACACAGTGATAGGGTGGCCGGGGGGATTGCTGGAGCCCTGCTTCAGTGGGCAGGGGGGATGGGATCCCTGCGTCACGGAGGGCTGATTTTAGAGTGACTTTGGTGTGGAAAGTTCGTCTCTGGCTAATGGCTCGGGGCAGGCAGACTTGGGGGCTGCACGCACATGTGGCAGTGGGGGCCCTGGGCTCTTTTCTGACAGTACTTTTCTCAGTGGAAAAGGAAGTAGGGTCATCGGCTGAGAGGCAGCATGGGGGCGTCTGATGGAGGCCCTAGAAGAGAGGGATGTGGTTTCTTTTTTGTGTCTAGAGCCTGTCTCGGTCGAGGCGGGCGTGACACATGGCTAACGCTTAGTTGGAACCAAGAGAGGTTATCGTGTATATGACGTTTCTCCTTGCTGGTTTCTGTCCTTGGGTTCCAGGGATGTGAACACCACCATCATGGAGCTCCTTATCATGGTGTACGCGTGTAAGACCTCCTGTGCCAAAAGCATCATCGGCGTGATCCCCTACTTTCCTTACAGCAAACAGTGCAAGATGAGAAAGAGAGGCTCCATTGTTTCTAAACTGCTAGCTTCCATGATGTGCAAAGCTGGTAAGAAAGGCAGATATTTGACGGTTTATTGGGGGTCTGGGAGTTTTATTTTTACCTGAGAAATTGTAAAGCATTGTCTTAACTAAATTAGAATGTTGAACAGAGTAGAAATAGTGGTACAGCTTTAAGATGGCTAATTTGTAATTAGAGAGAGTTCTCTCCTGTTCCCAACTCCCTAAACACAAAGCTGATGAGAATAACTTATTTTTTCCTAAATTCTTTGTTTAAAAAAATTAATATTGAAATGACAAGTTACAGTCATATTTTAGGTTGTTTTTAACGGGGAAGAAGGCATTTGGAATCAACAACTCTAATAACACGGCAACTATTTTTATTTTCGTCTCTTCCCTTTCCCAGTACACACTGGCATACTTTGCAGACCATACAAATTATTTTGTGTTGTGCATTTTTAGGTAACATCCTAAGTGTCTCCTCCTTGTTTCTAAATAATCTTCAGAGTTGTTACTGTGTGTGTGTGTGTGCGCACGCGCGCGCACATCTGCGCCCACGTGCACGGGTGTGCCTGTGTATGTGTGTATGATTATAGAAGGCACATGTCACAGAGCGTTTGCACAGAGAGAAAAGAATAAAAGTCCCCATATCACTACATTTTAACACAGACACTTACTGCAGAATAAATTTTCTACTGTAGCATTTCAAAGAAGGCAAAACCAAAACAAAAAATGAATAAACCTGAACCCCAGCAACCTGAAGAGCACACCCAGTTGAGACTCTGCTGGAGGGAGCAGGCCTGCCCTTCCCCCCTAGGCTTGCTCCTGGGGGGCCACCAGGCCTGCTTTCCTGTTCATTTGGGCAAGTTGTGCTTTAAAAAAATTTTCCAGTTGAATTATATGTATGTTTATATATATATATATATATTTCCATTTCAAATATCCTTTAAGGAGCCAATGCGATGAAGATTCCTCATTTTTTCGAATTACAGACAGGCCTGTGCAGTTTGTCTTAATATATTAAGACAAATACTTGTCTTAATATGGCTTTGTCATGCCTATTGAAAAGACTTCGGGGAGATGAAATCCACTCTCACAGAATTATCAGACATTTCTTCATTGCTATGATCTTGGCTGTTTTAAGACTTTAAATTGATGTGAAAACCATGCATCTCTGTGTAAGAAAAGCCACCCAGTCTTTCCCTTCTGAGGGGGGAAACCCAGTTCCCCACCTCCTCTGAGTTTCCTTTACTCCTCGCAGGGAACACTTCACCTCTGTCACCAAATGTGTAGGCGTTTTCCCCACACCTTGCAATTCTCCAGGGCACCAGCTGGGTGTCGTACAGTTCCACTCTGACACTGTGTACCTGGAGATGGCGTCAGATCCCACGGGTTAAGGGCTCAGTCCCATGTGCCTGCTCCCCTGACCCCCCCAGACGCTCACTGCAAGTCCAGGTTGTCACCTGTGCTGACCAGTTGGCTATAAATCAGAGGTTCCCACGACCTCCTCTTGGGTTCGATTAATTTACTAGAACTCCTCACAGAACTCGGGAACACTGTTCTCCTACTGTTCACTGGTTTATTATAAAACGACATGATAAAGGATCCAGGTGGGCATCTGGGTGGAAGAGGTGCGTGGGGCAGGGTATGGGGAGGGGCTTATGGCCGTGTTCACCCGCCTGGAAGCTCCCTGAAGCCCGTGCTGTTGGGACTTCATGGAGGTGTCCTCACAAGGGCGTGCTCGTTCATTAGCTCCATTTCCAACCCGTCCCCCATCTCGAGAGTGGGGGTGGGGAGCTTGAAAATCGTGGTGACCGGCCCCCATCCCGGAGCCCATCCTGGGTCGCCTCATTAGAACAAAAGATACTCTTGGTACTCTTATAACTAAGGAATTCATAAGGCTTTCAGGAGCTCTGTGTCAGAGGTGGGGTCAAAGACCAGATATTAGAATAAGAGATGCCCCTGGTGCTCTTAGCACTGAGGGAATGGCAAGGGTTTTAGGAGCTCTGTGCTGGGAACCGGGGGGGGCAGAGACCAATATTTATATTTTCTTTTATCTCATAATCTCATTGTACTAAAAAAAAATCTGAGAAATAAAGACACTGAGTTTTTGATGAGAGCAATTTTTAATAGTAATTTATTATATATGGTATCTTGTTTTATGTAGTACTTATTCATACAGTGCAACTGGTTATGAAATTATTTGTGTGTTTGTGTCTGCTTTATTTTCAAAGGTCTGACTCATCTTATTACTATGGATTTACACCAGAAGGAAATTCAGGGCTTCTTCAATATTCCTGTTGATAATTTAAGAGCATCTCCCTTCTTATTACAGTATATTCAAGAAGAGGTGAGCTAGCTCAAACTTTTTAACATTCTGTTTAAGGTTGAAAGATGCATTTCCATTTCCTTGGGCTGTCCATGAAGGATTAAAACTTGATGTATTCTGCTTAAAGTACTATTTACTTTATAAATGTAATTCAGTGTTTTTTTTTTTTTTTCAGTCTGAAATTCTTTTCCCATTTAGATTATTACAGAATACTGAGCAGAGTGCCCTGTGCTATACAGTAGGTCCTTGTTGGTTATCTATTTTAAATACAGTAGGGTGTATATGTCAATCCCAAGCTCCCAATTAAAGAATTTGAAAAAGAATAGATACCTGTATATGCATAACGGAATCACCCTGCTGTACACCTGAAACTAACACACCATTTTTTTTTAACATCTTTACTGTAGTATAATCGCTTTACAATGATGTGCTAGTTTCTGCCTTACAACAAAGTGAATCAGCTATACATATACATATGTTCCCATATCTCCTCCCTCTTGCGTCTCCCTTCCACCCTCCCTATCCCACCCCTCTAGGTGGTCACAAAGCACTGAATTTGGTGTATTTTTAAATTCTTAATCTGCAATTTATTTCTTTTGCTAAGCTGTTAAAATTGCTTTTTTTTCTTTTGCATCTCAGGTGCCTAGAGTCACCTAGTCGTGATTGTGACAAATATCTCACTGTCATCATTGGTCCATGGGTGGTCCTGGACCTCTTTTATGTGTCCCTCTTCCTGCCTTATCTTCGTCCATGCACCTGTAGTCGTCGGCATCTGTGATCCTACCACCCAACAAGAAAACTAGCATCATCATAGTAACTTACGTCCACACATGTAGTCCTTTTGTGTCCCATCCCCCTGCCTCCTTCTGCCCAAGGGAACCACTATCCTGAATCTTGTTTCATCTTTCTCTCAATTTCCTTGGTTAAATTTATTCCCAGGTGTTTTACTTTTTGGCTCTGTTGTAAATGGAGTTGTTCCTTTTGGATTGTTCACTGCTGGTGAATAGAAACGAAACTGACTTTTGTGTGTTGATCCTGCACCTTTGCTGGACTCATGTATTAGCTCTAATAGTGTTTTGTGTTGTATGTGGATTCTCTAGGGTTTTCTACATGTAAGATCATATGGTCTGTGAATGGACACAGTTTGACCTCTTCCTTTCTAACTTGGGAACCTGTTTTTCTTGTCTGATAGCTGTGGCTAGAGCTTCCAGTACAGTGTTGAGTAGCAGTGTTGAATGTGGGCATCTGTGTCTTGTTCCTGATCCTAGGTGGAACGCTTTCAGCCTTTCACTGTCAAGTCTGATGTGAGCTGTAGGTTTTTCATTAATGCCTTTTATTATGTTGAGGAAGTGCCCTTGTATTCTATTCCTAGTTTTCTGTTTTTATCATGAAAGGGTGTTGGATTTATCAGATGCTTCTTCTGCATCATTTGAGATGGTCACGTGGATTCTTTTCCTTCATTTTATTTATTTATCTATTTTTTGCGGTACGCGGGCCCCTCACTGCTGTGGCCTCTCCCGTTGCGGAGCACAGGCTCCGGATGCACAGGCTCAGCGGCCATGGCTCACGGGCCTAGCCGCTCCGCGGCCTGTGGGATCTTCCAGGACCAGGGCACAAACCCATGTCCCCTGCGTCGGTAGGCAGACTCTCAACCACTGTGCCACCAGGGAAGCCCTCCTTCATTTTATTAATGTGATATATTACAGTGATTGATTCTTCTCATTTTGAATCACTCGTGTTCCTGGGGCAAATCAAACATACGTAATTTTAATATAGTTACATTTGTTATTCTTGGATATAATAGCACTTTTGTGACTCATTATTTAAGAAGCCTTTTTAAATGTTAACTTATAATGCACTTAGCTATTTTGCTTTTTTAGGAACTCTTTTCCTCACGTGAATTGTCTCTTTAATAACTTTTCCAGAGAACGCTTTTAACAGTATTTAAAAGAGAGCAGTTTGTAGATTTCTGAGCAGTTTCTTTCTGTCAAGAGTACAGGCCTTCCCCATCCTCCAGTAACTAACGTAGGCCCTCAGTAGTGAAAATGGGTTGAAGTATTTTTGAAAGGGAACACTAGAAAATATTCTACTTGTTTTTTTAAAGTTATGCACAAGAAACATACAAACTCTAATACATTCAAAAAACAATATGAATGTAATTTACTTGAATATGATTCTCAGTTGAGAGAGAAAGGGTGCGAGAGCACAGCTCCTGTCCTCACAGGAGGAAAAGGGCCCGGGCAGAGGGAGGAGCGTGAGGGCAAGGCTGGGCTTCACACAGCATGGTCCCGGGAAGAGCCATCTCAGTGATGCCTCTAGTTTTGGAAGAAATAGAGCAGTCGGTGTACACTTTTTTTTTTTAAATTTATTTATGTTATCAATTTATTTTTTTGGCTGCGTTGGGGCTTCGTTGCCGCGCACAGGCTTTCTCTAGTTGCGGCGAGAGGTCTTCATTGCGGTGCGTGGGCTTCTCATTGAGGTAGCTTCCCTTGTTGCAGAGTACGGGCTCTAGGTGCGTGGGCTTCAGTAGTTGCAGCACGTGGGCTTCAGTAGTTGCAGCACACAGGCTCAGTAGTTGTGGCTCGCTGGCTCTCAAGCACGGGCTCAGTAGTTGCGGCACACGGGCTTAGTTGCTCCGCAGCATGTGGGATCTTCCCGGACCAGGGTTCGAACCCGTGTCCCCTGCATTAGCAGGAGGATTCTTAACCACTGCACCACCAGGGAAGCCCTCGGTGTGCACTTTTATAGCCTAATGTTCATCTTTTGGTCTGGGGGATGTTTCCTCTCAAGACACCAGGAGTGCTGTGTGCTGACATCTAGAGACGTACATGGCAAGAGCGACTCTTCAGAGGCCCCTGTGGGCCTGGTGAGTCAAGGCCACAGCACCCTTGGCGCTGATCCAGAGGTCAGGGCAAGGTCATTGCCCTTCATGTAGGCGTCTGCCTTGGTGCAAGGCTGCCTGCCACTTGAAGAATCCCGTCTTAGGTTTCATTGTTGAAAAGAAGTCGGACCTGAACCCTCTTAAACTGCTCATGGTTCAGCAGATATGGGAAGTGGGGTCCTTGTTTCTGACGGTGAGCTAACAGTGGTAACCTCAAGTGTTTTAGTTTTAAATTCTCTGTTCTTCATTCATAGAGGTAAATTAAAACAGCCTATAGAAAATGAGACACTATATGGGAGCTCACTGTTTACTTTTTTATAGTATATGTACTTGCTTTATGCCTTTTGTTTTCATGCATTAGAGTTTCTCAGGCAGGGGGTAGATTCACCATATTTTACTGAATCTAAGTTGCCGTCAGTTAAGGTTTATGTTATTCATGTCATCAAGAAAGAAGGCAGCGCTGCCAGTCCTGCTGTGAGGCATTGCCTTCGTGTCACCTGGTGGCTCTATTCTGCAAGCTTTGACACTGATGTCATCCTATTTGACAGCTCACCCTCTGTTTTTCTTGGGTTGTCAAGGGAATTTGAGCACTTTCTGCCAAAAGTGGGCGTTCAGCTAATGGGTGCTCATTGCCTGGAAACTGTTCTCCAGCCTTGGCCGTGTTGCTGTGCATGCGTTAAGCATCCTTTTCAGATTTAGTCCTTCCACAGCTTCACCTCCTGGCAGGGAGTCTTCCTTTCGTAGGTCCCAGAAAGCATTTGATTGTTGCCTTGCAAGAAAATATGGAATTGTGGTCATTCCTCCAGTGATGACCCTTTGATTCATGAATATGAAATTTACATCGTGCTGCCCTCTTCCTGTGTCTTTCTGCGTGCATGGTAACTCGTCATTTTAATGCTGAATCATAGTGAGCTCTTTCTGGCGACATTTTATTTTATTTTATTTATTTATTTTTCCTGGCGACATTTTTTGTTTGTTTGTTTTTTGTTTTTGCTGTACGCGGGCCTCTCGCTGCTGTGGTCTCTCCCGTTGCGGAGCACAGGCTCCGGACGCGCAGGCTCAGCGGCCATGGCTCATGGGCCCAGCCGCTCCGCGGCATGTGGGATCTTCCCAGACCGGGGCACGAACTCGTGTCCCCTGCATCGGCAGGCGGACTCTCAACCACTGCGCCACCAGGGAAGCCCTCTGGCGACATTTTAAATGGCAGTTAAGCCTGGCCCGGAGAGAACCAACAGTGCCTGTGATTCATGTGAATGGAGGACATAGGAACACCGTGGCCACCTTCATGCACGCGAAGGGGTGAAAGCACACAGTGCGGCTGCTGTTGGGCTGACAGCGGCTGTAAGGCAGCACTGAGTGTAAGACATCCAAGTTGTAGACATAATAAAATATAACCCAAAAGAGGTTTGGGTATTGATTCAGTATAGTGTTTGTTTTTTAAAAAAATGACTAAGTATTATAGTGATAGTACTAGTAATCATTGGTCTGCACCAGGGTTTTTTAAGGAAATTAGGAAGAGGGGAGGCTACCAAGTGTACTTTTGTGGTGTATCGAGAGATTCCATCCCATCAGTTTTTAAAATAGGAACTTATAAAGTGATCCTGTTTCTGATTCTTGAGTTGCTTTATTCCCCTCTGTGTTCTTCTTAGTGTCTTTATACCAGTTCATTCTCACTGTCAGAGAAATGAGATCTGGCAAGAAATGGAAAACCAGGGACACAGGCAGGGGTGTAGCAAAGGAGTGTGGGTGTCAGGCAATTTGATTCTCTGTGGTCCCACAGTGGCCCTGGTGATGTTTTCCCTTAATGGTTCCGGGGAAATTACTACAGGGTTTGGAAGTCAGACTTGCATGACATGTGGTGTGTTTTCCCCTCCACTTGATAAGATTAATAAGAATAATCTTCGAAAATGTGAAAAATGAAAACTTATGTTTACAGTGGCAGTTAGGGAAATTCTGACAGAAGTGATGAAATAAGCAGCTTCCCTGGACCACCAGCCTGGGCCCAGGCCCTCTGCAGGGCTCACCCTGGTTACCAGCCTGCGTAGTGTCCTGAATCCTCTCAGACCTTTGCCTCTGATTTACCTCCCATTTCTGTACACCTAGTTACAGAAATTGATTTGTGGGGGCTTTTTGAAAAAAAAAATACAAAAAATACAAAAAAACACATTGATATATTGTTTGTGTTGTTCTGTAACTTTGTTTCCTTTCCTGTGCTGGTGTCGGGAGGTCTTTCCATGTTCAGCTATATAGGATTACTTCTTTCTTCATGATTGCTACATAGTACATCATCATCATTCTATGATGGTGTAAATGTTCTATCTGCTGTCAGAATGGCAGCCACACGTACCTGTTGAGTCCTTGAAATGTGCCTGCTGTGACTGGAGAATGGAATCCTTCATTTTATTTAAGTTTAATTAATTTAAATTTAAATAGCTACCTGTTGAGATGTTTAAAGCACAAGTTTAAATGAGCCGCAGTTTTTTCAACCATTTCCCTCTTGCTTGGATATTAGGTTGTTTTAATTTTTCACTCTTTTACGTGAAATATTTTATTTTCAAAATATATTTAAGTCATGTTGCATTAAAAATTCTTGTACCTGCCCTTTTGAGTACTTACGCAAGTGTTTTTCTGAGCTATATTAGGAAGTGGAATTGCTTAATTGAAAAGTATCTACATTTTTCATATTTTAATAGATATTACAAAAATTGCAATTGTCTGAAGGGGCTGTATTCATTTACACTTGGACAGAATTCCCCATGTAAAACAGTGTTTTATCTTTTTGCTGTGGTTTTGAAATTTCAGCACAATGTGTCCATGTGGATCTTTTTTCCATTCACCTCACTAGATGCTCAGTGGGTCCCTTTCATTCTCTATGAATTTTGTTTGCTATAGTGAGTATTTCATCCCTTCTATTTTTTCATTCCTTTCTTTGGGAACTGTTAGAAGTTGAAAATCTTGGATCTAGTCTGTATATTGTTTAACTTTTTAAATTTTTTTTCAAGTTTTGCATTCTTACATGCTGCCTGGTGGGAAAATTCCATGGCTTAATCTCACCCACGGTTTTTTTTTCAGCTGTGTCCCTCCTGCCCTTCAAGCCAGCTGAGTTTCTTATTTGCACCATAATAACTTCCACCGTCTAGATTTCTTTTTGGTTCATTTTCATAACAACTTGTTCTTTCTTTATGCGTATGATTTCCTGTTTTGACTCCTGAGGAGAAAATAGACCTGTTTTTATTAAAGAGTCCTTTCTTTTAAAGTTTCTTTTTCTTTGCTCTATTAACTGTTTCTTCATTTGTTATTTTTTCTCTTGGCTGGGTTTGGTGCTGTTTGGTGATGTTTGATGAGGCAAAGAAGTGCATAAAGCAGTTTAGAAAGACTTCCAGCAAAAATAAGGAAAACGCCTAAATGAAAATACTTTTTGCTACCTTACTCCCTGATAATGTTGGATAAGTTAGGCTTTTTATGTGTATAGATGGATCAGATGTAGAGATTTCTTATCCATATGGACATATCTATCATAGAGCCTTGTTCAAACTAATTGGTTTTTTTGTTTACTAAATATTGATTATTTTAGTGCTTCCCATGTACTAGGTATTGTACAAGGTGCTAGATGTTATTAAGTGCTTATATTAAAATTCATTGATCCAGCATAATTGTGAGAAATCAGTGGGGCTATATTTGAATGAAATAATATAATTTAATGAAATGATTAGATTTTAAGAACATAATTTGAAAATATTGCCAAGATGAAATCAGAAACAACAAACTACTGCTCAGCTTAAAAGTAGTTCTGGGCTTCCCTGGTGGCGCAGTGGTTGGGAGTCCGCCTGCCGATGCAGGGGACACGGGTTCAAGCCCTGGGCCAGGAGGATCCCACATGCCGCGGAGCAGCTAAGCCCGCGCGCCACAACTACTGAAGCCCACGCGCCTAGAGCCCGTGCTCCGCCACAAGAGAAGCCACCGCAATGAGAAGCCCGTGCACCGCGATGAAGACCCAATACAGCCAAAAATTAAAAAAATAAATAAATTAAAAAAAAAAAAAGAAAGTAGTTCTGTCAGGCTTCCCTGGTGGTGCAGTGGTTGAGAGTCCGCCTGCCGATGCAGGGGACATGGGTTCGTGCCCTGGTCTGGGAAGATCCCACATGCCGCAGAGCGACTGGCCCCGTTAGCCATGGCCGCTGAGCCTGTGCGTCCGGAGCCTGTGCTCCGCAACGGGAGAGGCCACAACAGTGAGAGGCCCGCGTACCGCAAAAAAAAAAAAGTAGTTCTGTCTTCTAAACTCTCAGAAGTTGGTAATGGGTGTATCTTCAACTGTAATTATCCTAGTACAGATCACTTCAAATGTTTAAAGTAAAGAACTCCAAAGTAGACTGATATTTTGCTTATTTTCTTAAGGGCTCTTAATATCTTTATGAAGCAGTGCTAGGTGGGCTGATTCCTTTAACAAATTGGTTTCTTCATTATGCTGTGACAGAGACACATTAAGTAGTTATTTGTTTGGACCGCACTTATTTGGAATTCAACAGGTGCCTTGAATTCAGATTCGATGAATGTCATCCTTGCCCTGTGAAATTACATGTAACTGGGATTCATGAGAGTACTTCCTGTTGACTTCATAAAAACACCTTTGCTGCCACATAGATATGAGCTAATTACTGATTAACCCTACTTTTTTCTTAAAATAAGTCTATGAGAGTCATGCCTTGATAATTATTTTTTTTATTCCTAGGTAGGCGTTTCTTCATCTTCTAAAGAGGAAATTTACTTTGAACTTTTTGTCTTTTTGGAAAACTTTGAAGTGACCAGATGACATTTTTGAGTCTGTTGGAATGTTCATTTTTATCAGTTACCGGGTACTGGTGTGAATAGCCTTGTGGAGACATGGCAGTAATCCCCACCCTCTCCTCTGTCACAGATCCCGGATTACAGAAATGCAGTGATTGTGGCCAAGTCTCCAGCCTCGGCTAAGAGGTAGGTGGGAGCTCCTCCGAGCCACACCCGGGGTCCCAGACCCGTCGAATCCCAGGTGCTCTGGATTCGATCTCAGCGGTTCCCACTGTGTCTCTTACTTTTTATCCTGTGAACTGATAGTTTAATACTCCACGTGCTAAGTGATGCTGATTTATTTTCCTCCCTTCTTTCCAGTCCCAGTCTGTGACTGCCATCACATTTCTTACCAGAAGCTGTCCAGGGCTGGGGAATCCCAGCCCAGTGCTTAGGCAGATCTGCCATTTCAAATACCAGTGAATGTATTTTGAGGCTGTTTACTGCCTTTTACTCAGAGAACTCAGTAATTTATTAACAGAATTGTATCCAGCCAAGAGGCTGGATTGGTATGTGTTAAAAGGTGACATTTTACAAAATTTACAAACACTACAAGGTGTGCAAATGGGGCAGTGCTGAGAGTTACATGTAACCTGGAGTAACTGATGAGTCAGGGATACAGAACCTAAAGTTGTGTTTGAATTGAAAAGGTTTCACACACAGACAGGCCTTGGAGATAGCGTGTTGGGTTCCACACCCCTGCCAAAGCCAATATCACAGTAAAGTGAGTCACATGGGTTTTTGGTTTCCCACCACGTATAAAAGTTATGTTTACACTATACTGTAGTCTGTTAAGTGTGCAATAGCATTATGTATTAAAAAACATTGTACATACCTTAATTTAAAGTACTTTATTGCTAAAAAATGCTAACCATCACCTGAGCCTTCAGTGAGTTGTAATCTTTTTGCATCAAAGATCAGTGATCACAGATCACCATAAAAAATATAATAATAATGAAAAAGTTTGAAATACTTTGAGAATTACCGAAACGTGACACAGAGACATGAAGTGAGCAGATGCTGTTGGAAAAAATGGCGCCGATAGACTTGCTGGACGGAGGGCTGCCCCAGACCTTCCACTTGTAACAAGTGCAGTGTCTGCGAAGTGCAGTAAACCGAGGTGTGCCTGTGCCAATGTCCCTGGAGAAGCCGCTCCACTGGGGAGGGGAAGGACAAAATCAAACGTAGGATGAAGGCTGTTTCTTAAAAATGCTCTTTTAAAATAGCTCCCACAATCGAATACCTTTGCTCCCTGGATCATCGTTGAGCCCATGGAGCGAGGGAGCGGAGGTGCCTCCGTCCTGTGCCCACCGTTGTTAATGTGGAAGGAGGAAGGGCGGCTTGCACGCCGTAAGCCCTTGACTTCACAGGCGTTACGATAAGTGGTTTTCCATTACAAAGTAAGAATAGCAGTTACTGTATTAAATAAAGTTGGCATTTGTGATGAAGCCATGGAGTTGCCATGTTCGTGGGACCAGCCTCCCAGTCAGCCAGGGCTGTGCCCACACAGGCTTCCTTCGAGAAGCTCTGTCATGGAGCCTCATAGTGTCCGTTTGATTAAGTCATGAACACCGGGACTCATGCTGGAACATAAACATTTCAAACAGCCTTTCCAGAGATTTGTGCAAAGGCTGGATTAATGCTGATTTAGTAATTTCCTTTTCTATGATACACGTGCTTTTTTAAATTAAGTTGAAAATTACATAACATACATTTAACTTCTTTAAAGTGTGTAATTCACTGGCAGGTAGTGCGTTCACAGTGTTGTACAGCCACCACTTCTCTCTGGTTTCAGAACTTGCTCTCATCCCAGAAGACCACCCCGAACTCACTGAGTGACCAGTCTCAGGTCCCTTCTCCCCCATTCCCTTGCAGCTGCTGATCTGCTTACTGTCTGTGTAGATTTACCTATTCTAGATATTTCATATAAATGGAATCATATAATATGTGGCGTTTTGTGTCTGGTTTCTTTCACTGAGCATAATGTTTTCGGGTTCATCTACATTGTAGCATATATCAGTAATTCATTCCTTTTTATGGCTGAATACTATTCCATTGTAGGGATGTACTACACTTTGTTTATCCATTCATCTGTTGATGGGCATTTGGGTTGTTCCCACCTTTTGGCTGTGAGGAATAACAGTGCTGTGAACATTTGTGTACAAGTGTTTGTGTTGGCATGTTTTCATTTCTCGTGGATATATATCTAGGACTGAAATTGCTGGGTCATATAGTAATTGTATGTTTCCATTTTTGAGGCACCACTAAACTTAACATACCCCAAACTGAACTGCTCTTTGCCCCCAAAAGCCTGTGGGGTTTGGCTGGAGTAGCGCAGTTTTTGTCTTAAAGTTTCCTGGCTTGTGAGGCTGCCCCTTGCTTGGTCTGGCTTTTGTTTGGGCACAGCTGTGAGCCTGGGGTAATGAGGCAGAAAGACAGATGAGAGGACCCGCCACTGCGTGTTCCCTCTCACAGGTGAGGAGACACATCAGGGAGGTGAGGAAACGGATCCAAGGTGATTCTGCTGTGTTGTTTACAGGAAGGTAGCAGCACAACTAATGACTTCTTTTTTTTTAATTTATTTTTTATTTTTATTTTTGGCTGCGTTGAGTCTTTGTTGCTGTGCACAGACTTTCTCTGGTTGCGGCGAGCGGGGGCTACTCTTTGTTACAGTGCGCGGGCTTCTCATTGCAGTGGCTTCTCTTGTGGCGGAGCGCAGTCTCTAGGCGCGAGGGCTCAGTAGTTGTGGCTCACGGGCTCTAGAGCGCAGGCTCAGTAGCTGTGGTGTACAGGCTTAGTTGCTCCGCAGAATGTGGGATCTTCCCAGACCAGGGCTTGAACCCGTGTCCCCTGCACTGACAGGCAGATTCTTAACCACTGCGCCACCAGGGAAGTCCCAGCTAATGACTTCTTAGAGTGTCTTCCCCACCAGTGATTCTGGGATTTGGGCGTGGGCCGAATAGGCTTGAGGTTGGCTTGCCCATTCAGTCCGTCTCACTCGGTACGTGTGTGCTGTGCCAGCCATTTTCTAAGGGGGGAGCAGTACAACCCGCTTCTCCCCTCTGGGGCTCGCAGATCACCCCGTGTGCTGTTTGGCCAGTAGGTTGGGATGAAGGATCGAGCCTCTTTTTCCCGCCTTCTGTAATGGAGTCCACATAGGTTACACTGCATTCAATAAATGTTTTAGGACGGAGATGGTTGCTCCAAAGGGGATGAGGGTATAAAATAGTGTAGTTATGGCTTTTGCACTCCGCATCGAAGGTGTGCTGAGTGCTCTTGGTCGGTAGCACCTGCCGTGGCATCTCCCACAGCGCTGTGCTGTGATTTCCTCTCATTTTGACGTCCTGATTTGCATACTCATCCAGAGTTAGGGTTTGAGATGGCATTTCCAGCTCATTAACACGCTGGTTTTGATCTGATTGTTTCCCGCTTCCTTCTCCAAGTCTTTTATTTGGCGCCTCACCTTAGAAAACTGTTACAGTTCATTTAAGAGACATCCTAAGGCAGCAGGAAGATAGTTAAACTAGGAGTCAAGAGACGCCGGCTTCCAGCTGGTGCCTACCCAGTCTTTGTGAGAGAGCTGAGAACCACGGTCCAGGCTCTCTGCAGGCCTCCATTTCCTCGTCGGCAGAGTAGGGGGTGACGCCTGCACTGCTTATCTTACAGAGCGGCGTGCGCCGAAGAAGGCGGGAGAGACTTCACAGATTGAGCAGCACGGTGAGCCCTGCAGTTCTGCAGATGTCGGTGGAGTTGAGGGCAGAGCTGTGGTTGTGCAGCCCTTTGGCAATGAGCCGTTGTCTTGAGTAAAAGAGGTCATCTGAGAACATAACGTTGCTTTAACAAACAGAACTTGCTTTAGTGAGCAAGTTGTTTGGAATTGTTTTCCTGGAATAATTGAGGGAATAGAAAAAAAAAGTCTGAGATCCTGTGTTTTGTTCTGACCCATGATGTACATTTACCCTCATCATAGTACAACCAGAAGCGAGACTGAGTTGCTTTGGAATTCCTCTGTGGCCGTCAGTGTCTAAAGCAGTATGACCTACCGGAACCATCCTGGTTCCTTTTTTGGAATCAGGTGGGAACCCAAGTTACGTTACTGTTCTATGAAGTATCAGAAACTAACATCATTGTGCAGGTAATGCTTTTATTTATCTTGAAAGTATTGTGGTTTATAGTTAGTAGTGTTATAGTAGGTTAGTAGTGTTGAAACAGCATTATTCTAGGAATTGGCAAACCTCTACGAATTCCTGATGGGAAAAGACTTCCTTAGAGGATAACTGAGAGCTCAGGACTTTTGACAGTAATCTTGTTTGTGAAGCCAATCTTGGATTTGAAGGAGCACTTAATCTCTGTGGTGCTGTGAGGTTAGCGTGGGGCAGAAGCCAGTGAAGGCTCTGCCGTGGTCTTTGTCTGAACATATCTTTTTCTGAGGACTTCTTTAAAAACTGTTTTGAATTTTTTTAAAGGGTGAATTTAAAGTTATGCAAATACTACATCTTAACTCTTAGGATCTTTAGCAATTTTTATTAAAAATATTCTCCCCCTGAGGCTCTCCCTCTTTTCCTTAAGTAAAAATATTCACACACACACACAAAGATACACTTTTCTGGATCAGGTTATGCAGTACAGCTCTGCTCCTGTGAAGTCTGTTGTCTTTTCTTTGGAAATATAAGTTAGATTAATTGTAGGAAGGGCCAGACCAGTAGACGTTTCTTTATGTGCATTTGAGATTTTCTCAAAACCACAGAAGACTTAACTGCATGTGCTGTGTAATGACATCTTCTACTGAGGGAGGAAAGTGTAACTTCGTAAGAAAGTAATTTGCAATGGATGTAGCATCCATTTAAATTTCTTGAACTGATTGCAAGCACTGTGACAAAACTCTCCTTGGTCGTGGAGTGCAGACGGGAAACCTGGCACAGGGGAGATTCTGTTCCACCAGGGAGCACAGTCGTGCCTTTAAGTGCCTCCCTGTGGCATTGCAATGCCTTGGCTGTGTCTAGTGCAGGTAGTCCTGATGATGGGGTTCTGTTAAATCCCTAATTTATGACCACAGCCCTTGTTTTTGTTCCTTTTTAGCTGTTCTTGTGGGCTGTAAGGAACTTGTTTTGAATTTTTGATGTTTGAAAACCAAGGTTGGGAGAACTTGTTGGATCTTCAAGCACTTGAGCATTTTTTTGTGCACTAGGTGCTGAAGATGGAAAAATGAGTAAGACCTCAATGGTGAATTCTACCAAACATTTAAGGGGGAAATAATGCTAACTGTACATAAACTCTTCCAGAAAGTTGAAGAACTAGTACTTCCCAGCTCACTTTATGAGGCATTCATTACCCTGATAGCAAAGCCAGACACAGACATTACAAGAAAAGAAAAACAGATCAATATTCCTCATGAACCTAGGTATAAAAATTCTAGGGCTTCCCTGGTGGCACAGTGGTTGAGAGTCTGCCTGCCGATGCAGGGGACACGGGTTCGTGCCCCGGTCTGGGAAGATCCCACATGCCGCGGAGCGGCTGGGCCCGTGAGCCATGGCTGCTGAGCCTGCGCGTCCGGAGCCTGTGCTCCGCAACGGGAGAGGCCACAACAGTGAGAGGTCCGCGTACAGCAAAAAAAAAAAACCCAAATAGCATCAAACTAAGTGAAACACTTAGGGATAAACCTAAGGTGTTCAAGACTTGTGCACTGAAAAATATAAAACATTGCCTAGAGAAATTAAAGACCTAAATGAATGGAGAAATATACTGTGTCTGTGGCTTGAAAGACTCAATATTGTTAAGATAGCGTATCTCCTCCCTACATTGGTCTGTAGAATTGACACCATCCCGATCAAAATGTCAGCAGGCCTTTTTTTTATAGAATTTGACAAGCTGATTCCAAAATTCATATGGACGTGCAACGAAACTAGAATAATGCCCCCCCCCCCGAAGAAAAAAAAAAAAACTTTGAAAAAGGAGAACAAAGTTTGGAGATCTAACACTACCTGAATTCAAGACCTATTATAAAGCTAAAGCAATCGTGATTGTGTGGTATTGGAATAAAGATAAAAAATAGGTCAGTGGAACAGAATAGAGTCCAAAAATAGACCCACAGGTATCTGGAAGACTGATTTTCAGCAGATGTGCATAGGCAATTTAATGGGGAAAGGCTAGTCTTTTTAACAAATGAAAAGTGTTGGAATAATCAGATGTTTGTGTGCAAAATAATGAATTTTGAGCCATATCTCACATCATTTTTAAAAATCAACTTCAAATGAATCATATACCTAAATGTAAAGCCTGAAAGTATAAAACTTCTAGAGGAAAACAGAGGAAAAAAAGTCTTTGTGACCTTGGTTTAGGTAAAGATTTCTTAAATATGACACTAAAAGCCCAACTGATAGGAAAAAATTGTTAAATTGGATGTCATGAAAATTAAAACTGCTCTTCAGAAGACATCATTAAGAGAATAACAGGCGAAAGCTCAGATCGGGGGAGAACATTTGTGAAGCATACGTCTGATGAAGGACGTAAATTCAGAATATATAAAGAATTCTCCAGACTTACTAAGAGAACTAACAACCCAACTAAAAAATTGGCAAAAGAGAAACAGACCCTTTACCAAAGCATATATATAGGTGGCAGATAAGCGCCATTTGTCATGAGGGTTCAATGCAAACAAACCACAGCGACCCACGGCATACCGCTGGGATGGGTACATTGAAAGGGCTGACAGCGGCCCGTGCTGGCGAGGGCGTGGAAAAGCCGAGTGCTCACACACGGCTTGTGGGCATGTGACAGCCACTTGGGGAAACGGTAATGTGTGATCCAGTCACACCAAGGGAAAAGGAAACATGAGTCCAGACGGATTTGTACGTGAGTGTTCACACGGTTTTGTAACAACTCATGACTGGACACAACTCAGAAGTCTATCCAGGAATTTCCCTGGTGACGCAGTGGTTAAGAATACGCCTGCCAATGCAGGGGACACAGATTCGAGCCCCGGTCAGGGAACTAAGATCCCACATGCCGTGGGGCAACTAAGCCCATGTGCTACAACTGCTGAGCTCAATGAGAGAGCCCACGTGCCGCAAACTACAGAGCTCACGCCCTCTGGAGCCCGTGCACCACAACTAGAGAAAGAAAACCCACACGCCACTACTAGAGAGAAGCCCATGCCCTGCAAAGAAAGATCTTACGTGCCTCAGTGAAGATCCCGCATTCTGCAACTAAGACCCGATGCAGCCAAAAAATAAATGAAATAAATAAGTAAACAATAAATCTTTAAAAAAAAAAAAAGTCCATCCACAAGTAAATGGACAAATAGTGATAGACCCACACCATGGACTGTTACTCAGCGATGTAAGGGATGCTCTCTTGATGAATGTGGGTGAATCTCCAAACTGTTACGCCGAGTGAACAAAGTAAGACAAAATTAAGGACTACAGACTCCGATTCCACTTACGACATTCTAGAAAACGTAAAACCATGGTGATAGAAAGCAGCTCACTGGTAGCTAATGCTGGAAGGAGAAATTGCAGAGGGGCACAGGTGACGTTTGGCGGGGTAGATACTTTCAGTGACTTGGTTGTGCTGACAGTTGTACGGATATAGAAATACATCTGAGCTTATGAAGTCATGTGGTTTAGGTGTGTACAGTGTCTCGTATCTCAGTTACACGACAAAACCTTGATGCTTCATACTCTGTTGAGTAGTTAGTGCACTTTGTATCGTGTGGTTGGTTCTCACTGTTAACTAGGTAGATAGGTAGAATTAATTACCAATTCCAAGTGAGGAAACGGAGGCTTAGAGGAGGTGAACCAACTTATAACTTACACGGGCTCGCTCGCTGGCCGAGTGCACACTAGGCCCAGCTGCCAGGGGGATGTGTGGTCATGTGGGGTCTCCACACTTTGTCTTGGATCCTGAGAGTCTAAGATTATTAATTCTCCTTTCTCATTAACCCTTTTGGAAACTACCTTTTTAAAGTTCCCATGATGTTTCTCCATAGATGTTATCAGAAACCAGCTTTGCGTGATTGTGAACGGGTCTCCTGCTCTCCTCCAGGGCACAGTCTTTTGCTGAGCGCCTGCGACTGGGCATCGCGGTGATTCACGGAGAAGCGCAGGACGCCGAGTCCGACCTGGTGGACGGGCGGCATTCCCCGCCCATGGTCAGGAGCGCCGCCGCCATCCACCCCAGCCTCGAGATCCCCAGTAAGTGTGCTGCCCCCGGGTCGCTTTCCTCTTTGATTTTAAGGCTGACTTAATTTTTTTTTCGAATGTGAAGTGCTACTTCTCTTTTTGTTTTTTAAATTGGCAAAAACTGATACCTTTCGTGGCCTGGCTGTGGCAAGTGCACTTCTGGTGGCCTCTTAGAAGCAGTCTGTCTGGTCATACCAAGACCTATGCACATGCTCAGTTTAGACGCATCTGTGGCACGTCAGGGATTTCACTTGTTCATTCACTAACATGTCCTAGAGTAAAGTAAAGTTTAACACAAGCAGAAAGCTTTTGGTGCACAAGTTATTCACTGTAGTGTTATTTCTAACGCAAAATATTGGAAAAGTCTGAATGGTTCACTGGAGGGCGGGGCTTGGTGAAGAATGTCGTATCAGCACAATTCATTATGCAGCCCTTTGAAATAATTAAGACTCTGGAAACAAGAGAAAAATATATGGAATGTATGTGAATAAGGCAGAATACAAGAGTGTAGGCCTGTCTTTTGCCAGGGCGAGGAGGGAATATGAAGGATGAACGTGGTTGTGACTGGGTGGTAGAGTTATGCATGAATTTGTTTTTGTTTTTAAGAAACTTCCCTCAAGCTTTAATAACATCTTTTCAGTTAAAAAAAAATACTGCTTTTGTTTGAGTCTGCTGGGGAGAAAAGACTTTTCCTCTACCCTCTGTAGCTTCAGTGCTCAGGAGGTTGCAAATAAAACTGACAGAAGACAGATCAAGAAGAGAAAAGATAAGATTTTAAGAGGAGGTTGCAATTCGGGGCTTGTATATGGTCTTCATAGGGGAAGGGGAGCGGAGGAAGGGCGCTGATGGGAGGGCCAGTGGCTCGTAGGGAGGATGGATGGGAGACAGGACGGTGTGTGACAGTGTCTGTGTAGGAGTGGTGCCGACTTCTGGTCTGGGTGATGAGAGCCAGTCTTCCTGCGGTTGTTGCTGGGAGGGGGTTTAGGACAACTGAGTTCTTTTGAGTTCCTTTGGGGAGCTCTGCTTTTAGACAGATAAGGGACTTCAGGAATTCAAATGCCTTCAGCTTAAAATACTTTTCATGCCGCTGTGGTGTACTCTGGACCCCTTCGGGTTCTCACGTTGCCTAGGAGTTGCTCGTTTATAAACAAAAAACCTCAGAGAAGGAGATATGGTCCTGGGATGGCCATGAAGGAGCGAGACTCAGCTGGGCCTTGTGGATCCCGGTTAGCTGAGGTGGACGTTGAAGGCATTCAGGCATGGGTTCAACTGGGGACAGGATGGCAGGGGCAGGGGCTGGGCTTTGTGTGTGGCCGTGGGTGGCCAGGAAGGACGCCACCCTGACCACCGAAGCTCCCTGGAGGGAAGACATGGGGAAAAGGTGGCAGCAGAACGCTCCCGAGGGCAGTGAGTCCCTCGCGTTGTTTTTGCTCTTTGGGGTCCTTTGCACTTTAGGGTCAGTTTATTTCTGCAAAAAAAGAGGCTGGGATTCTGACGGGGTGCATTGAGTCTCTAGATCACTCGGGGAGCATTGCCGTCTTAACGGTACTAAGTCTTCCTGTCCGGTCTGGATGCCTTTTATTTCTTTTTCTTGCCTGACTGCCCTGGCTAGCACGTGCGGTGCTCTGTTGAATAGCAGTGGTGAAAGTGGGCATCCTTGTCCTGTCCCTGATCTTAGGGGAAAGGTCTTTCATCCCATATGACGTTAGCAGTGATTTTTCCGTAGTTGCCCTTTATCGGGTGGGGGAAACTCCCTTCTGTTGCTGGTCTCTTGGGCCTCTGTCATGAGACAGTGACTTGCTAAGGCCTCGGCTGGGCTCTTAACCGAGAAACGTGTGCGTGTTTTGTCCTGGGCAGTGCTCATCCCCAAGGAGAAGCCCCCGATCACAGTGGTCGGTGACGTGGGAGGAAGGACCGCCGTCATTGTGGTACGCAGGCCTCTCTTCCTGTCACTCTGTCGCGCTTGCCGCTGGTGCTTTGCTGGCTGGCTTGCCAGTCGTGCTGGGGACGGTGCCAGGTAGGTCTCACGGGCGCCTTGTGCTGAATGTCTGCTTTGGTCCAAAAACTGAGACTCGCCAGGTGACCCACAGCTTCTGTCCGGCTTGCCTACAAATCCGAGGCTCCCAGGACCCCCCTGGACTGGAGCATTTGCTAGAGCAGCTCACAGAACTCAGAGAGACACTTAGGTTCACCAGGTCATTAAAGGATGTGATAAAGGACACAGATGAGCAGCCAGATGGAGAGAGAGAGGCACGGGGCAGGGCTGGGGAGGGTCCCCGTGGAGTTGGGGTGCATTACCTGCTCGGTGTGGAATGTTCACCCACCTGGTTCGCTCCCCGAACCCTGTGCTGCTGGGATGTTATGCGGGCTTCTTCCTGGAGGCCTGATGGATCATTAACCCCATTTCCAGCCCCCTCCCCTCTGTGGAGCAGTTGGGGCCGGCCGTGCGGGTGCTGCAAATTCCAAGCTTCCCTGGTCTTTCTGGTGGCCAGTGCCCATCCAGGAGCTCGCCCGGAGTCATCTCATCAGGACAAGAGGTTCCTCTAGTGCTCTTACCGCTAAAACATGTAAAACGGGCTTTAGAAGAGACCAATGTATATATTTTCTATTATCTCATACGGGGAGTCTGCGAGATTAGAAACCACTGGACTGAGTATTTTGTTAAAATAATAATTATTATTATTTTTCCCATTATAAAAATATATGGAAAAAACACATTTCCCATCCACCCAGTGCAGAAAATTTAGAAAATAAGGAAAAGTAGCAAGAAAAGAGGAAAGAACCACCTAGAGTCAAAAGCATCTTCTAACAGGTGCTTTACTATGCATTAAAAAGGTCTAGGGTGAGTATTTCTGGAGCACCTGCCTGGTGGGGTGTAGCTCTAGACGGTAGGGATAGAGAACTATAGGCCCAGGGCGCCTGTGCTGCACTGTGGGAGGCCCGGAGGGAATGCAGCGGGAGCCCGGTGACCTCGCTGTCTGGACACGTCAACGTGGACAGCAGGTGTGTCACAGTAGAATTAGTCCAGCCTTTTTCCCCGTGGTCTAGACCCACCTTTACAAAAGTGTTCATGTCTTTTGCTGAATCTGTAATGCCAGGACGACATTATTGATGATGTGGACAGCTTCCTCGCTGCAGCAGAGACCCTGAAGGAAAGGGGTGCGTATAAGATCTTCGTGATGGCGACTCACGGCTTGTTATCCTCCGACGCCCCTCGACTGATCGAGGAATCTGCCATCGATGAGGTAACAGAGCCGGGCTGAGTGTGGGCACAGCTGCCTGGTGCCCGTGCCCATCCCGACCTGTGGTCACGGGAGCAGGTGGAGAGTGAGCTGCTCTGTAGTTCAGAGTGGTAGTTCTGTTTGCGTGTCACTGCCTGCAGCCTCTGTGTTCTGCCCGTGGCAGTGGGTGATAGTTTTAGTGACTCTCGTAAGTGGAGCCCTTGGCCCTGACGGAACCGCCTGATGCTGGGCACATGCCGTCCCTGAGCTCCAGCACAGCCCTGCAGGGAGAGTGAGAAATTGTGCACCAGAAAAGTTCAGTGACTTCTTAAGGTCAGGCAGCTACGAGCCCAAGCTCGTAGGGTTCAGACTCTAGTTTACCCGATGCTAAAGCCCAGCTCTCTTCCTGGTACAGACGCCCGTGGCATGACGTCGGGAGAGGAGGGCACACAGGGCCACCTTCCTAAACTGCCTGCAGCTCCCAGAGTGGCTGAAGTGAGGCCAGCCAGGTTTCCTCGCCTTCCTTTGTCCACCCCTCATTCCAGGGGCCAGCTAGCTGCGGGGGTTGATTGTGTGAATCACGTTTTTATTATCTTTTAAGAAGCAGAAATGCTGTCTCCTGTATATTCCTGGGTATTGAATCTTAAACTAGTCGGGCTCCTTTAACTTTTCTGAGGCCCACACTTTTCCTCTTGAGCAGTCACTCTCCCTGAGCCTGGCCCATGCTCATCATCTCTGATGGGTTCAGGATGCTTTAGCACAGAGAGAAAGCCAGGCTCGCACGGCTTAGCTCGATCTGGCCTCCTTTCTCCGCTGCACGAAACACACATAAAGCGGGAAGACTTCAGGCCCACGGCGGTGCTCACTGGTCTGTCCGCGTGGCGCTAGGCAGGGTTCTCGCGGGTGCTGTGTGTGGGCAGGTTAGCAAGAGCGTGTGGGGGGCTGCTGCATCCAGGCCCTCGGAACAGAGTGGACTTTGGAGAGGACGCATGAAGCCCCGGACGTGGAGGTCGCACATCCTAGGCCAGCAGGGGGGCTCTGTCACTGATACCCATACTGGGGAGCCGGGTCGGTAACTGATGGATAAGCGGGGTTCCATATAGGCCTGTAGACGAAGCACAGTTGCCCAGTAGATAATAAAGCTACGAACCCTGTAAAAGTAACAGCAGGATCGACAGGGTGGGAGGTGGGAGAGGAGGAGAGAGGCTGATTGCCCTGTCTCTCAGAAGAGGAGCCAGTAAGCAGGGCTTGGAGTTGATAAATCAAGATTTGAAGTGTTTTTCTTTCTGTTTTTTTAATTAAAGGTAGTTAAATGAAACGTCCAGAATAGGCCTCTATAAAGTCAGTAGATTGGTGGTTGCCAGGGGGGTTTGAGGAAGGGTGAAATGAGGAGTGGCCGAAGCGGGTACAGCGTTTCTTTGGGGGGAGATACTAATCACAACTCTGAGTATCCTGAACGTCATTAAATTGTATGCTTTCAATGGGCAAATTGTATCGTATGTGAATTATATCACCAAAAAGCTGTTATTTTTTAAAGTGGTTAGAATACATTTGGAAAATTCATTCCCGACTGAGGGTGGTTATCTAGTGAGAAAACTGACCCTCCAAGGTGACCAGATGGTACAGTCCCTCCTGGGGGCACCGTCCCCGAGGCATTGTGCTCAGAGCAGGTGCAGCCCTGCCTGGGGTCGCCCTTCACACTGATGCCGTGTGGATGGGGCAGAAAATTCTGTGTTTGATACCAGTGGGTAGGTGTTTTTCCTTTGGGAGCTGTTCTTTTACAGGTCAGGAGACTTACATGACCCTTCATGTTCCCACGTTTGCCTTAGTTACCAGGAAGATCAAACAGAAAAGGAGTCACGGGTTTCCCTGGTGGCACAGTGGTTGAGAGTCCGCCTGCCGATGCAGGGAACGTGGGTTCGTGCCCCGGTCCGGGAGGATCCCACGTGCCACGGAGCGGCTAGGCCCATGAGCCATGGCCGCTGAGCCTGCGCGTCGGGAGCCTGTGCTCTGCAATGGGAGAGGCCACAACAGTGAGGGGCCCGCGTACCGCTAAAAAAAAAAAAAAAAAGGAAAGGAGTCACACAGTAATTACGATGGGCTAGGTTTTCATGGCCCTGCTGCTGGTTCTGAATGATTCCTGATCATCCGTCTGTTTCAACAATCTCATGGTATATGTACGTTTTTTATTATAAGCTGTCTTGAGGCTTATTTTGGAAGTAGGGAGTATGTATTATAAATAATAACTTTAAAAATATTCCCATCTGTCTTTTTAAGAAGGCTGAGTATTTTTTTTCCATTTGTAGCTGTTGAAAAATGCATGTTTCCCCTTTTTTGATTTTCATCAAATCTTTTTAAAATAACAGCTTTATTGACATACAGTAGTCCCCCCTTATCCACAGGGTATACCTTCCAAGACCCCCCAGTGGATGCCTGAAACCGTGCACGGATAGTACTAAACTCTATGTATAGTCTGTTTTTTCCTGTACATACATATCTATGATAAAGTTTAACTTATTAATTAAGCACAGTAAGAAATTAACAGTAATAACTAATAATAAAATAGAACAATTATGGCAATATACCTTCTTGTGCAAATTTAATGCCTTTTTCATCTTAACTAAGCACTTTCACATACTGTGTCTGCAACTTTTACAATTTGATATGTGACATGAATTTCTGTTTCCTTCTTCACAAGTTTACGGATGGACGATTCATTCATACCATAGATCTTAGCAATCTCAGCACCCAGTTTTCCTTCCTTAAGTCAAGAACTTTTGCCTTTTCGCTTAAAGGAAGCACTTCACAGCTTCTCTTTAGTATATCTGAATTGCCAGCCTCACTACTTTTGTAAAATTAAGTAAAATAAGGATCACTTGGACATAAGCAGTGTGGTCTGATACCCGAGATGGCTGCTGAGTGACTGACGGGCAGGATCTGCTGGACAAAGGGCCGATTCACATCCCAGACGGAGTGAGACGGCCCAAGAGTTCGTCACACTACTAAGAACAGCGCACAATTTTAAACGTATAAATTATTTATTTCTGCAATTTTCCATTTAGTGTTTTCAGAGTGAGGTTGACCGTGGGTAACTGAAACTGTGGAAAGTGAAACCTCAGATGGGGGCTGTGGGGGATGTCTGTAATTCACATGCCATATGATTCACCCATTTAAAGTGTATACTTCAGTAGTTTTTAGTATATTCACAGAATTGTGCAGCCGTTACGACAATCACTTTTAGAACATTTTCATCCCCCCCACAAAGAAACTCCGTACCCATAATCAGTCACACCCCATTTCTTCTCAATCCACTCAGCTTTAGGCAACCACTAATCTGCTTTCTATCTCTGCAGTAGGTTTATCTAATCTGGCCATGTTATATAAATGGAATCATATAATATGTGGCCTTTGATCTCTGGCTTCTTTCACTTAGCATAATGGTTTTTGAAAGTTCATCCATGTTGTAGCAGGTGTCAGTACTTCATCCTTTTTATTGCCATGTAGTATTTCACTGCATGCCTGTAATTTTTTTGCTCTCTGTTCATAGTTTGGGTTGTTTCCACTCTGACTGTTGTGAATAATGCTGTCATGAGCACTCATGTACATGTTTTCAAATGGAGATGTTTTCGTTTCTCTTGGGTGTCTACCTAGGAGGAGAATTGCTGGGTCACACAGTAACTCTATGTTTAACCTTTTGAGGAACCTCCAGACTGTTTTCCAATGCAGCCGAACCAGTTTGCATTCCCACCAGCAGTGAATGAGGGTTCCAGTTTCTCCATGTCCTTGCCAGCTCTTGCTGTTATCTGTCTTTTTGCCTGTAGCTGTCATAGTGGGTGTAAGGTTTTCAAACCTTAACCTAAGGTACAGGTAGCATTCACATTGACTGAAAACATTGCTGAAGGCACAGTAGACCCACTTCAGAGATGTGAGAATGTATCTGATTTTCAGGTCGAGCCAGGAGGCTACTTGGTTTTATGATCTCTTGTTTTGCTCTTGATTTGCAGGTGGTGGTTACCAATACAGTTCCACACGAAATCCAGAAGCTCCAGTGCCCCAAAATTAAAACTGTGGATATAAGCATGATCCTTTCAGAAGCCATCCGTCGGATTCACAATGGGGAGTCCATGTCCTACCTTTTCAGAAACATAGGTTTAGATGACTGAACAGCTTTCCTTTCTTAAAACTCTCAAGGGCCAAACTGGAATAGTAAGAATAAGCACTGTGAGGCGTGTGCCTGACTGATGATTTCACAGGGACCGTCTGTGTCTTGTTCCTTCCTTTTGTTAATTCCTATGAAGATAGACCAACTTTTTAATTCCATTTGGGTGTTTGTGAGTTTATGGGGGCAATTTTTATAAAAGAAAAACTATATTCTCCTCTTAAATAAAATAAGTTAAGACCTGGTTGTGTTCAGTTTACCTGTTGAAAAAATAACTTGGAAAAAAGATTTTAAGCTCACAAACAACCTTTTCCCAAAGTTGCTGGAGCCCAGGTGCTTTAAAAAGTTAATAAAATAAAATGATATACTGTATGATAATGCAGGTGAAAAGCCAAAAAGGTTATGCTGTTAAGTCCAGTAAATTACATTTTTAGAAATGCTGTTATAGACACGCATATGGAATATGTGACCGTTATTTATTTTCTGCAACAAAAGAAGGAATAAAAACTGTATCTGTGTGTGTGTGTGTGTGTGTTTTTTTAACTTTGTGTTTTGGCAATTGTTTTATAACTAAAATAAAATGAGAGCTGAATATACATGCTGTGGATGTTGGAATGTTCATCAGCTTGTTGAGATTTCTGCAGCTTTGGGGTGATACAGTAGTCTCTTCGGGATGTAATGTTCCCTGTTCTGTTTGTCCAGGACCCTGCACGTTCTCAACGCGTAGTCACTTGACTGCAGCAGGAGAGGAATTGGAACACCAGCTGTGAGCCACTGGGGCAGGTCAGGAGTTGGCGTGAGCTGCCATCTGCATCTTGGTGTGGCTCCTTGGCGTGGCATCTTTGTTCTGCTCCTTGTTTAAACAAAATGCAGCACTGCATGCTCTGGAAAATGAGATGCTGGCGGGGAGGGGGTTACAGAGGGCAAGCGATGTGACCCTTGTCAGTGTCAAGCACCTAGTATTGTCTGTCAGAGTTCAGAACTCTACTTTAGAGTTTATCAGGCTGGGAGACACTGGGGTCCCATGAGTTATGCCACTAAGGTCATGTAATGGCAGTCCCCTCCAATTCATGCAGGAAAGAATTAAGATTACTTTTTCTTCCAAAAGACCTTAAACCTTTGCTTTCTGAGTGCATGCTCAGAAAAGACCTGAGAAAGCCTTTAAGCTTGCACGTGTGGCTGCCCTGAGGTTCTGTGTAAGCAAGAAGTGAGGGCCAAGGCAGGGTTGAAGGCATGCCCCAGGACACACAGCCCATCTACAGACTGGGAGAGTTGTTCTCTCTCTCTCTCTTTTTTTTTTTTTTTGTTTGGTTTCAGGGTTTTACGGAAGTGTGTGATGACTCACTAGCTGACTGTCCAGAGATTTCAGTTGCCACAAACAACAAAGAATACAGACTTTACAAAATCAGTTTTGAAAAGCCACTATGCAGACAAACCCTGTGGAGGGAGGAGAATCTGATTTCCAGACTTTCACATTATAATATTTAAAATACCAGTTTTCAACAACAAGAAAAAATTCCGAGGCATGTAGAGAAACAGGAAGGTTGGGCCCATACACGGCATCTTCCTTGAGGAAGCCCAGACTTTAGACCTACTAGACAGAGACTTTAAGTCAACTCTTTCAAACATGCTCAAGAGCTAAAGGAAATCATGGGGATTATGTCTCACCAAATGGAGAACATCAATAAGGAGAGAGAAATAATAAAAATGAACCAGACAGAGAGGATTTGAGGAAGATGGTGGAGTAGGAAGCACCAGGAATCTGTCTCTCCACCTAGACAGTTGCAGTGGCAAATACATCTGATGATTTTGGAATTCTGGAGTCTATTGAAGGTTTGCAATTTCCAGGGGAAGTGCTGCACAGTAGATTATAGCTAATTTTGGTCAAAACCAGCTCTTAGTACAGTTGGAGATACCCGGCCCCCACTCCCACCCCTGTGGCAGGCAGCTCTGCACATGCTTCTGGAGTAGTCTGCACCAGCTTGTGGGAGCCAGGATAGGCAAAAAGGCCCCGTCCTCCAGATAGCAGGAATCTGTGCTCTGATAGCTGATATCGGCTTCTGATCACAGAAGTGCAAAGAGGCTGGTAGCCATTGTTACCTCACCTCCCCCACTGTTGCAAGCTCCTCCTCCTCCAGTTGAAGAAGGAACAGTGCCTAACTCATGCTGAGGCCAGCATTACCCTACTACAAAAAACAGAGACATTGTAAGAAAGATGAAGCAAAGTCCAGTATCTCAAGAACATAGGTGCAGAGATCCTCAACAAAATATTAGCAGAACAATTCCAACAGTGTATAAAAAGAATTATGCATAACCAAGTGGGTTTATCCCAGATATGCAAGGCTGTCTCAACATTTGAAAACTCGTGTAATCCATCACATCAACAGACTAAAAAAAGAAAAATTACATGATTATATCAATTGATGCAGAAAAATCATCTGACAAAATCCAACATCCATTCATGATAAAAACTGAGTGACATAGGAGTAGAGAGGGCATCTCCTCATCTTTTTAAAGAATATCTTCAAACAAACTACAGTGAACATCATACTTAGTGGTGAGAAACGAGAAGCTTTCCCACTAAGATCAGAAGGCAAGGATGTCTCCTCTCATCACTCTTTTTCAACATTGTACTGGAAAGCCAAGCTAATGCAATAAGAGAAAGATTTAAAAGGTACACAATTGGGAAGGAAGACATAAAACTGCTTTGTTCTCAGATAATATGATCATCAATGTAGAAAATCTGAAAGAGTAACAATGCCTCCACCCCAACTCGGAGCTAATAAGTGATTATAGTTAGATTGCAGGATACAAAGTCAATTGGTTTTCTATATACCAGCAATGAATAAGTGGAATTTGAAAATAAAGGTACAATGCCATATACATTAGCACCACAAATATGACATACTTAGGTATAAATCTAACAAAATATGTATAAGATCTATATAAGGAAAACTGCAAAACTGATGAAAAATCAAAGAACTAAATGAGAGATAGTCCATGTTCATGGAGAGGAAGACTAATTGTCAAGATGTTAGTTCTTTCGAACTTGATCTAAAGATTGAGTGCAATCCCAGGGACTTCCCTGGTGGTGCGGTGGTTAAGAATCCAACTGCCAGTACAGGGGACACGGGTTCGAGCCCTGGTCTAGGAAGATCCCACATGCCACAGAGCAACTAAGCCCATGCGCCACACTTACTGAGCCTGTGCTCTAGAGCCCACGAGCTACAACTACTGAAGCCCATGCACCTAGAGCCCATGCTCTGCAACAGAGAGAAGCCACCACAATGAGAAGCCCACGCACTGCAACGAAGAGTAGCCCCCGCTCACCACAACTAGAGAAAGCCTGTACGCAGCAACAAAGACCCAGTGCAGCCAAAAGTAAATAAATAAAAAGATTCAATGGAATCCCAATCAAAATCCCACCAAGTTATTTTGTGGATTTTGACAAACTGATCCTAAAGTTTACATGGAGAGATAAAAGCCTCAGGATCACCAATACAGTATTAAAGGAGAAGAGCAAGGTTGGAGTATTCACACTACCCCACTTCAAGACAACTCTAAAACTAAAGCGTATAGACCGATTGAACAGAGCACCCAGAAATAGTCAACCAGTCTTTGACAAAGGAGCAAAGGCAACATAGTGGACCAAAAATCATCTTTTCAACAAGTAGTACTTGAATAGCTGGATATTTACATGGAAAAAAAAATGAATGTAGACTTAAGTGTAAAAGTCAAAAACATAAAACTCCTAGAAGAAAACCTAGATGACCTTGGTATGGCAGTGACTTTTTAGATATGACACCAAAGGGATGGTCCATGAAAGGAATAATTGATAAACTGGAATTAACTAAAATTAAAAACTTTTGCTCTGTGAAATGCACTGTTAAGAGAGTAAAAGACATGCCACAGGCAGAAGAATCTTTGGAAAACACTTAACTGATAAAAGACTGGTAAAAAGAACAGTTAAATCTCAATAATAAGAAAACAACAACCCGATTAAAAATTGGGCTGAAGACCACCAAAGAAAATATACAGATGGCAAATAAGCATATGAAAAGATGCTCTCTATTGTATGTCTTCAAGGAACTAAAAATTAAAACAATGAGATACACTACACACTTATTAGAGTGACCAAAATCTGGAACACTGACACCACCAAATGCTGACAAGGCCGTGGAGCAACAGGAACTCCGTCATTGCTAGTGGGAATGCAAAATAACCACTTTGGCAGGAAACTAAACACACTTTCACCATGTTATCCAGCAGTCATGCTCCTTGGTATTTACCCAAAGTAGTCAAAAACATGTCCACATAAAAACCTGCACATGGAATTTTATAGCAGTTTTATTCATAATTGCCAAAATTTGGACGCAATCAAAATGTCCTTCAGTAAGTGAGTGGATAAATAAACTGTGGTACTTCCAGACAGTGGAATATTATTCAAGCAGCAAAAAGAAATGAGTTATCCATGAAACGATGTGGCGGAAACTAAAATGAATCTTATTAGACAATCTGAAAAAAGCTATAATACTATATGACGCCAACTATATGACAGTCTTTATGGAGACTAAAAGATCAGTGGTTGCCAGGGGTTGGTGGGGGGATGGAGGGAGGACTAGAGAGAGCACAGAAGATTTTTGTGGCAGTGAAAAATACTCTATGATACTATAATGCTGGATATATGTCATTATACATATGTCTAAACCCACAGAATGTACAACACCAAGAGTAAACCCTGATGTAAACTGTGGACTTCGGGTGGTGGTGATGTGTCCATGTATGTTCACCAATTGTGACAAATACACCACTCTGGTGGGGTTGCTGATAATGGAGAAATTGTGCATGTTGGGGGCTGGGGCCATGTGGGAAATCTCTGTACTTACTGCTCAGTATTGCTGTGAACTTAAAACTGCTCTAAAAAAATAAAGTCTTTAAAAAAAAAAAACCTAGACTGGTTTGACAAAAAACTGGGTACCATAGCCTAGCCAAGCTGACGAGTAAAACTAACCATCGTATTAGGGTATTGATTGTAATCCCCAGGGCAACCACTAAGAAAATAAGTAAAAAATACATAGTAAAAGAAAGGAGAAGGGGACCAAAATGGTAGACTAGAAAATATCTATGCAACACCAAAAAGGGAGTAGTGGAGGAATTGAGGACTAAAAAAGATACGACATATAGAAAACAAATAGCAAACTGGCAGAAGTGTTTCCTTATCAGTAATTACATTAATGACAATGAATAGAACTTTCCAATCAAAAGGCAGACATTGGCAGGATGGATTTTTAAAAAATGATCCAGGAGCTTTCCTGGTGGCGCAGTGGTTGGGAGTCCGCCTGCCAATGCAGGGGACACGGGTTCGTGCCCCGGTCCGGGAAGATCCCACATGCCGCGGAGCGGCTAGGCCCATGAGCCATGGCCACTGAGCCTGCACGTTGGAGCCTGTGCTCTGCAACGGGAGAGGCCACAACAGTGAGAGGCCCGCGTACCGCAAAAAAAAAAAAAAAAAAGATCC